GCAGTTAGTATATTATTACAATAATACATGGCATAGAACTATAAACATGAAACCAGTGGAAATGAAAAATGATATTTCAAAAGAATGGGAATATATTAGAAAGCAAATGGAAAGGTTAAATGATGTTAAACGTGAACAAATTAATTCGGGGCTCATGAATTTTAAACAAGGGGATAAAGTTTTGATTCATCTCGATTATGGAAAAACTGATAAATCAATGACAAAAAGAAGACGAAGATTTGACACAATAGCTGAATTTGTTAGATATATTAACGGCAATGCATTAGTTGAAGTTGACAATAAATTAATAGAAATTCCGATTTATTTTATTACTCCATTATATTTAAATAATATTTAATTTTTTTATTTCGTAAGAAATGAGTGACAAAAAGCATCCAAGAGTCCTGATTCAATTAAGATTCAGAGTCCAGACAATGAATATAAAAAGAAACTAAACAGAATTAAATCAAAAATATGCTATTACAAAAAGAAGCCGCAATGCGGGGCTGATGCCCATAAAACTAAAGAACTGAAAACGATAAAGAGAGGAAAGAAATAATCGAAAAATTAGAAACTTACCGTTCAATCCTTAAACTGAGTGAAGCAAAAATAAAAGAATTTAATAGAATAAATAAATTGATTGGAAGAGATGAATTTAATAAAGATGAATTTTTAAACTCAATCCAAATTTAATTTTTATTCCTCTTCGACAACGTCTCTTCGAGACGCCGAACCCTTCTGGGTTCTTCTTTCCATCATTACTGCATAACCGCATCTTCTCGGTTTTCGTGGTTTGTTGTTTTTAATTGTTCTTGCATCATTTTTATCATTTCCTCCCTTGTTATGATTCGTGGTAAATTTTGAGCTTGTGGGGTATCCATTTATATAAAAATAAAATTTTGTTATCAGTTATTTTATCATCATTTTATTAAGTTCATCTTTAGTTAATTTGAATGATAAGAAAATTTATTTTTGAATAACTGAAGGTGTCACACGTCACCATGTGTCACCTGGTTAATTAACTTCTCTTAAAATTACTGACAACATGACATTTAGACAACAGGTACGAAAGGAGGAAGGCATTTATGAATTATTTTTGAATAACTGAAGGTGTCACTACGTCACCATGTGTCACCTGGTTAATTAACTTCTCTTAAAATGATGACACATGACATTTAGACATCACAGCAGGATTAATGCAAAAATAAATTCAATCATACTTTATACTGCAAGACCTTCAGGTCTCGCCGCTTAGCGGCTCATTTACAGGTATTTCATCGTCAGTAAATGAATCCTCATTATCGTTTGGTTCAACCTGTTTATATAATCCTTTCATTTCTTCTTTCAAAACATAACACCATGTTTGTTTACCATCTATTCTTCTCTGTTTCCTATCACATTTATCCTTAATGCTCATTTGAAAGTTTTTGTCTTTCATGTCTGATGGTTTGCAGCATAGAGCATTTTTACACGTCATACCTGCACACAGTTCATCATAATGTGTATTTATCCATTCATCTAAAGGATTTGTTGATAATTCTATTAAATCTTGTTTGGCTTCAGTCATCGGTATGATTCGTACATTAAATGATGAAAGGTCATATTGCATAAAATACGTCAGTAAATTATCATAAAATTCCTTTGTGCATGAATCCATTAAATTCTTGAAATAATCAAATTGACCCTTGAATTTACCATTAACTCTTAAAACTACGTATCTTCTGTCTCCAACTTCAATTTTGACAGGGTAGACGTTATTAGTTACCAAAATGAAATTGGCAACATTCTGAGCAGTTCTTCTGGGTTGATTCTTTTCATTAATTCTTATTTCATTATCCGTAATAATTGATTTCAAAGCGTTGAAGTTTGCGAGTCTGTCTTCACCTACATTCTTGAGTTCATTAAGTACAAGAAACATTTTATTCTCAACTACTGAATTGAAATTACCCGTTAGCTCACTTATTTCAGTAATGTTTTTACATGAATAACCGGCGAGAAGTTCAGAAATAATGTCTGTAAATCTGTTTTTACCTGTTCCCTGAAGTCCTTTCAAAATAATTGCTGTTTCATTCTTGATTCCAGGATGTTGAATCATTGATGCAATCCAGCCGAGAAGATATTTATACACTTCATCGTTATTATCACAAATGGCTTCTTTAATGAAATCCATAAACATCTTAATTTTTGAGTAATCTGGTTTTTCGAGAACGTTGTATTTATAACCTTGAAACGTTGAGAAAACATCTGGGGAATCAGATTTAAAGCAAACACCCTTAACGGTTAATGAAGACAATTGATTTAGTAGTACATCCCATGCTGTTATTGTTTTACCTTCTTCTTTAAATAATTTAATCATTTTAAGTGACTCTTTCATGTTTGATTGAAGAACGAATGATATTTGATTCATTTTGTCGTGGATATTATAGTCCTTTTGAATGAAATATTTGTTTCCACAATCTACAAAACGGATTACACGTGATAAATCCTCAATTACTTCAGAACTGTTTTTATACTGATGATTTTCAGCCTTGCGTCTAATATCTGTTATCAAAAACGAGTCATCAAGTTTTATATCAAATGTTATTTTTGGCTTAAGTAATAAAGGTAAAACGTATTCATCATAATATTCCTTTTGATATAGTTTTAGAATCTTCATTAAAACAAATGGAGAAGTCATTAAATGTGCATATCTACTACGTGCTTTTTCAAAATTACTTTTTGCATTTTCAGTTAAATTGCAGAAGTTATAAACGTTATCGTATGCTTCATTAATTAAATGATTAGGTAACGAATTAATTGCTTGAAACAGTGTGAATAATGTAACTTCTTTTTCTAAATTCATGTTTCCACCGTCATTGTGTACTTCAAAATCACTGATGCCATCAACTATGCTCTGGGCAAGTTTATCGTCAATGTTTACATCTTTGTTTTCATTCATGATAGTCTTTATTTCTTCATTCTTTTGTTCAACTCTTACCTTAATATTCAAATCATCTAATATATCATTCACTGTTCTGGTTATGGTCGAGTCATAACTTCCACGAATGAATGAGTATGTATTGATTGGTTCTGTTGCATTCTTGCGAACTCTTGAATCAGCCATAACTACTAAAGAACGCTTTGAATCATCCATAGAAGTCATTATATCAATATCGTAATCATTGCAGGAATAGCATTTAATCATTCTGTTCGAAACTGAATAGAAGAAATTAGTGTTGCAATAAATGTGAAGACCTCCTGAAGCGGTTTTAACGATAACATCTTTATCCGAAAGTTTTGATAAAATATCTTTTCTAACTGTTTCTTTAAGTTCATCATTGTATGATTTATTGATATCAACATCTATAATCGTTAAATTTGAAATTTTATTTACTAATAAAGCCATACCAGTTTTCCTTCCTCTTGCTCCATCGTGTTTGAGGTAGTTATGTAAATCAATCTTGTTTTCACCAATTCTTTCGTTGAGGGTTTTAGTTTCTGCCACAACTAATTCCTCAGCTAATGAATCAATAACTTTTTCATCAGAAATGATAAAGTTGCTGTTGTTGTTTGTTGCGGTCATTTATATAGGAATAAAAAAATAAAAATAATTTTAAAACTAACTTTATTTTTGGACTGCATCAAATTTCCTGGACTGTTGTCAAAATGTCATGTTGTCATCATTTTTAAAAGAAGTTAATTAACCTGGTGACATGGTGACGTGGTGACACGTTCATAATTTATGAAAACATTTACGAAACATTAACGTAAACATTTACGATAAAATTTATTTCCTGGACTGTTGTCAAAATGTCATGTTGTCAGTAATTTTAAGAGAAGTTAATTAACCAGGTGACACATGGTGACGTGGTGACACCTAAAAACCATTAACGATAAAATATATTTTTGGTCGTTTATGACAAAAATAAATGGTTCATTTACTCACAATATTTTTGTACAAAACGACCCCAAACTTTTAACTTCTTTTCTGCAGTTTCTAATGCTATCTTAGCGAGTTCATATTCTCTAAATTCTCTCTTAAATCTTTCTTGTTCCCATTGGTCTAGTTCGTATGGAGAATCTCTATAACCATAACATATCTCACGTTCATGTTCTAATTGTTTTTTCGCACATTTTTCTAACTTTTCTTCAAAAAATGTTTAGCATTCTCTATTGTATCTTCGAGTTTTCTTCATCTAATTTCTCATGAACTTTCTTGTCTATGGAGTCCATAATATTTTGACATAAAATGCATACTTTACAGAGCACCATTCAGCAACAAAATGAACGAGTCAGGATGTATGTAAATACCTTTGAATTCATTTATAACACCCTTAGTAAGCTCATAAAATGCTTGTTTTGAGGTCGAGCCACTTTTGGCTTGACTGTATCGTTCATCCAAAACTCAAGAATTTCCTGCATTTTGTACTATTGAGAAATCTGTTTAAATGGTTTTAACCTTCCGCTTCTCTGCCATCTTTGTTGCATTAATGTAACCATCCTTGTCTCTACGTAAGACTTCAATACCATTATAAGTGCCTTTTGTGAATGTTTCGCCATTAGATTTGTTCGTGAATGTTTTTGCTTCGACTGACATTTCTGTTCTTACATACAAAATAAAAAAATAAAAATAATTTTAAAACTAACTTTATTTTTGGACTGCATCAAATTTCCTGGACTGTTGTCAAAATGTCATGTTGTCATCATTTTTAAAAGAAGTTAATTAACCTGGTGATATGGTGACGTGGTGACACCATCAGTTCTTCAAAAATAATTCATAAATGCCTTCCTCCTTTCGTACCTGTTGTCTAAATGTCATGTTGTTCGCTCTTTTGGAGCTCAGGACTTTAAGCAGCTCTGAACCATGCGAATACAGTCATAAATGGTGGCATATAATCTGCACCCGAACCTGTTGGATTTGTTGTGAAAGTGTGTGAATGATTTCCTCCTGATTCAGTTGGTCGAAAAGTCTTTTTTGCTGAATTGTTATAAGATGGAGATAAAACGTCATAGCCAGCTTTCTAGTCTGAGTTGTATAATGGGTGGTCTCTTAATGAGTGTATATGGTCGCCAGAAAAGTTTGTCGTTCCTGTATGAGTGTGCGCAGGTAAGTTTGCTTCTTTAATTTTCTTTGAGCCTCCTGTTTGCTTTGAAGAGTTAGCACAGTATAAGAATTTGTTTACAATCTGCTGCCACGTACCAAAACCCAGAACTGTTGCGGGATTTGTTGAATTCATTGATGTATAAATAGAGCCTATAGGATATAATGTTTGAAGTATTTCAGTCTTTAATGTTTGAAGCTCTGTTTTATCTGCTTTCTTCTCTAACTCATAGTTAACATAAGTTTTATCTGCTTTAAGGTCTAAACATCCTGAAACCCATTCTGTATCAGCTTTAACTTTAAAAGTCTCCAATGTCCATTCATGATACCATTCAACCTTTTCTTTAATTTCATTATCTTTTTCATCAACATAAGTTTTATCTGCCTTAAGGTCTAAACATCCTGAAACCCATTCTGTATCAGCTTTAACTTTAAAAGTCTCCAATGTCCATTCATGATACCATTCAACCTTTTCTTTAATTTCATTATCTTTTTCATCAACATAAACTAAATCTGCTTTCTTCATTAACTCACTATCCACATATTCCTTATCCACCTTCTTCATTATGTCATTTAGGAAACCTTCTATGAATTCCTCATTTAAATTAAATCTTCCAATCTTCAAAACTTTAGGAAATGCATTTAATGCGTAATATCTCTGTTCTTCTGGTGAATTGATGTTATATATCATCCGTTATTTCTTTAATTTTTGAATTCATAAAAAATTTCTTTTATATTTGATATCACTGCACCACCTTTGCAAACGAATTCGAAATGGTCATTTTTCAATACTATCTCCAAATCTCCATATTTCAACCTTTGCGTTTGTTCTGCCGTCTTTGAATTATATGCATATATGGCGTATGTAATGGTCTGAAGGACCTGGGCGCTTTGCGCCTTAAGTTGCTGTTTTTTAATCATTTATTACGATTTAAAAATAAATATTTAATCCGTTATCTCATCAGCTATTTTCTCTATTTGAAATTGCCATAATATTTCATTCATAAATTCTAAATCACAATCAAATAGGTCAGTTATTCTAAATTTAATATTTGATAAATCTTTTGAATGAAGAATAAATGAATTCCCGGATAATTGAAACGGATATGATAAAGAAAATGTGTTTAAGTTGATGGATAAAATGTTTTGTATTGATGGGTAGGAGTTAGGGTCTAATGTTTGATGTGAAAATCTCATTGGGGTATTAACTTTATCACATTTGATTAAAATGAAATTGGAACCAGTGTCAGAATACAAAACATCCCCAACATCTTTTTCAAAATTTAATATCCCCAACAATGAACGAAGATGAGGAGTACAAAATTTAATTTTCAGCGGAAATTTAATAAGGTTATTTATTTCATCAAGTTCAAAAAGTTTATCAGGTTTTGATTTAAAATTTTCTTCATACCATACGATAAATGATTCATTTAAATAACTTAAAATCATGTTAATATCCAATTTCGCTATCACATTATTTATATACATATCATACGTTTTTTCAAGGTCTACGACCTCGCCGCTATGCGGCTCATGGTCATCTTTAATAAATGATATATAATATGAAGGGTCTAAAAGAATGGGATTAAATTTACCACTCACAGAAACGAGAGTAACATTATATAGGGTGTCCAAAGGTGCGTTTAGCACAGCGCTCTATATGAGACTATTAAAGGAGATATATGCTGATTATAAATATATAATAAAAAATATGAATATATGTATATGATGAGTATGTTGTATTTTGGCGCCATGCCGGGATATAAAATGAATTTTGAGACAAGAGGCGGTTTCGCGGGAAATTTTGGCGGGATTTTTTTCATTTTTTTAATGAATCATAAAGAAAACATCCTCGCTCTTGCAAAAAAATGCAAAGACTGTAAAAAAATCTACGAGACATTGGTAAAATGCTTCGGTATGGATGCTCCTAGCTATTCCACTGTAACGTATCATGTTAGGATGTATCACTTCATGAACAAAAAGGCGCCCATCATAAAAATTGACAAAAAATCGCCGGATCAAAGAAAAATCAAAGCAATTCTTCAAGCGCTAGATGAAGACCCAAGAGCATCACTCAGAAGGATAGAGGAGATGACAAAGATACCACGTACAACAGTCAGTTATTATCTGCACAATTATTTGAACTACAAACTAGCGTATACACGTTGGGTTCCGCACAACCTTAATTCAGTTCAAAAAAAATCTAGAGTCCAATCTTCGAAAGAGCTCCTCTCTATATTGCGTGCGTATCAATCCAAGAAGTTTCGCTTTTTAGTAACAGGGGACGAGTCTTGGTTTCAATATGCAACAGAAGCCAAAATCATGTGGATCCCGAAGGATGAAAATCCGCAAACATTCCCGAAGAAAAAAATTGACACACCAATGATGATGTTGTCGGTTTTTTGGGGCGTGAATGGCATCATCGCAATTGATATTCTTCAAAAACCTAATACGATGAATGCTCAGTATCTAATTGACAATGTTCTTACTCAAATTATCAATTCTGATGAGTTTGAGAAATCCAAACAACAAAAACAAAAGTTTGCAATTCATTTTGATAATTCAAGAGTTCACAAAAGTCATAAGGTAATGAATTACTTGTTGGAAAACAATGTCAAAGTTGTTCCAAACCCAATTTATTCACCTGATATTGCACCCTCTGACTTTTATTTATTCGGCACGCTAAAAAAGAGAGCTGAAGGACGCGAATTCGCGAGTCCAGATGATCTTGAAAATTTTGTAAGAGAGCAATTTGAGCAATTTTCTCATGATGATTTAAAGCGTGTCTTTCAAGCCTGGATCGATCGCTGCGAACGCGTGATTGAATCCAATGGTGATTATATTTAAATAAACTTTATATATATGTAACTTGTTTATTTCTATTCGCAGTATTCAGGTTTGTGCTAAACACACCTTTGGACACCCTATAAATTCCGCTAACTGTTAAATTTAATTCACAGTTATTATTCGAAATAATATTGATAATTGACATTTTTATTACGATTAAAAATATGGTAAAGCGTTATTTTCCAGTGATAAATAAAACTAGAATAAGATTACCTCAAGAATTCATAAATTCAACGAATAAGAAATTCATTTATGTTATAAATTTTAGTGTTTTCAGAAAATATGAGTCAGTGTCATATTCATCAACAGGTTATATTTCACTTCATTCAAATTTAGTTCAATCAAACCCATATAATGACCATTTCATAAGATTTTCAGATGGTATTAAAAATGTAATTGATAGATTAAAATATGAACAGATTGACAATATCGAATTTTTGGAATTTTGGTTTAAATATCCCGATGGAAAAAAGATTGAAGTTAAAGATAAAGCTGATACTATAACAAAAACAATTACAATGACCGATCCGGATAGTGGGGAACAAAAAGAAATAAAACAAACGATAGAAACTGGTGAAAGGTCAATTATTATTGATTATGATTCAAAGGATTATTATTCGATAATGTTAATGCTTGAATATTAAATAGCCTTAACAAAGAATTTTTCAAGTGATATTTTATATTCATCAACTATAGGGTGTCCAAAGGTGCGTTTAGCACAGCGCTCTATATGAGACTATTAAAGGAGATATATGCTGATTATAAATATATAATAAAAAATATGAATATATGTATATGATGAGTATGTTGTATTTTGGCGCCATGCCGGGATATAAAATGAATTTTGAGACAAGAGGCGGTTTCGCGGGAAATTTTGGCGGGATTTTTTTCATTTTTTTAATGAATCATAAAGAAAACATCCTCGCTCTTGCAAAAAAATGCAAAGACTGTAAAAAAATCTACGAGACATTGGTAAAATGCTTCGGTATGGATGCTCCTAGCTATTCCACTGTAACGTATCATGTTAGGATGTATCACTTCATGAACAAAAAGGCGCCCATCATAAAAATTGACAAAAAATCGCCGGATCAAAGAAAAATCAAAGCAATTCTTCAAGCGCTAGATGAAGACCCAAGAGCATCACTCAGAAGGATAGAGGAGATGACAAAGATACCACGTACAACAGTCAGTTATTATCTGCACAATTATTTGAACTACAAACTAGCGTATACACGTTGGGTTCCGCACAACCTTAATTCAGTTCAAAAAAAATCTAGAGTCCAATCTTCGAAAGAGCTCCTCTCTATATTGCGTGCGTATCAATCCAAGAAGTTTCGCTTTTTAGTAACAGGGGACGAGTCTTGGTTTCAATATGCAACAGAAGCCAAAATCATGTGGATCCCGAAGGATGAAAATCCGCAAACATTCCCGAAGAAAAAAATTGACACACCAATGATGATGTTGTCGGTTTTTTGGGGCGTGAATGGCATCATCGCAATTGATATTCTTCAAAAACCTAATACGATGAATGCTCAGTATCTAATTGACAATGTTCTTACTCAAATTATCAATTCTGATGAGTTTGAGAAATCCAAACAACAAAAACAAAAGTTTGCAATTCATTTTGATAATTCAAGAGTTCACAAAAGTCATAAGGTAATGAATTACTTGTTGGAAAACAATGTCAAAGTTGTTCCAAACCCAATTTATTCACCTGATATTGCACCCTCTGACTTTTATTTATTCGGCACGCTAAAAAAGAGAGCTGAAGGACGCGAATTCGCGAGTCCAGATGATCTTGAAAATTTTGTAAGAGAGCAATTTGAGCAATTTTCTCATGATGATTTAAAGCGTGTCTTTCAAGCCTGGATCGATCGCTGCGAACGCGTGATTGAATCCAATGGTGATTATATTTAAATAAATTATATATATGTAACTTGTTTATTTCTATTCGCAGTATTCAGGTTTGTGCTAAACACACCTTTGGACACCCTATATTTTATTATAAATATCATTATATGTTAAATGAAGTTCAGTTGTTGTTCCGTTCTTTGATATCTTAATTGTGCTAATATCCTTTATAGGATTTATTTTTGCAACTGTTCCGCAGCATGAAACCTCATCATCTATGAAAAATTGAATCTTAACGTCTGAATCTTGAACATCACAAAGAATGGCGATAATGTGAATTAATGATTCATAAGGTAAAATAATTAAACCGGATTGATCAATTAAATTTATTATTGAATCATAATTATTAGTTATTATATCACGGTAAATTTTCATTAATTCAGAATTAATGTCTATTTTATATGGGTTATCAAGTGGTGCTGGGTATGTTGGATAAGTGGGAATTTCAACAGGTTCTTTACCGGGTTCAGATAAAATGATTGGGTCTCCATCTTCTTTATTTTGCTCCTCCTCCTTTTTCGGTAAGTCACGAGTTAATAAATTTGGTTGAGTTGCTGACCTTGTTAATTCAGGGCTAACATTAACTTTAACATTTTGAATAATTCGTGATTTATCATCATTTACGTTATAACCAACCGTAATCTCTGCTTTTGCGTTAGTGTTCTTTTGACTAGTGAAACGTCTTCTCATTTATAATCGAATAAAAAAATATATTTAAACTTTTATTTTGCTGGAAGTTTTGAATCTATTATTCCCTGTATTTGTTCTTGAAGTTGATTTTTAGCTGGTTCATTGTAATTAAAAGACCTAATATATTCATTAATTGCATTCTTATAATCATCTGATTTCTCAAATTTTCTTTTATCTGATTCCTTAACTAAATCATAAGTTAAACCTCGTTGCTGATATAATGGTTTCTTAATTAAATCTTTGAATGCTTGAGATAAAGCACCTGATGCAATTCTTGCTACTATAATTGGATGGAATTGCTGTTTAAGTTCATCTTTAACATTTGCGAAAACTGGATCGAATAAAGCAACTTTAAAGAATTTCTTAGCTGGAATTTCGGGTCTAATATTTGCATATTGACCATCAAACTGGTTAGAATATCGTGGTAATCCATCCGGTCCCTCTTCAATAGCATTTAATTCTTCATTGAAATAAGAATATGGATTATAACGGTATGAATTAATTGGACCATTTTCACCTTCTCCAATGTATTGTTTAACAGCTTTTCCATTTTCATCAAATTGCATGGATAACGTTCATTATATGCTTTACGTTTAGGATAATCAGTTATAGTTAATTTGTAACCATTTATGACTTTAATATTACCTTGACCATCAGTAACGAAAACTTCATTTATACCATCAGGTTTTCCATTTGGACCCGTAATGTCTGCTTCGTGTGCTTCCCAATTTGGTCCATGACGTTTGGCATATGCTTGAGCTTCTGGTAATGTTAAAACGTTTCTCATTTGTTTAACATCTTTTTGAAGACCAGCAACAATATGAACTAATTCTTTCATTCCATCAGGAACTTTCATAGTTCTATTATATGCACCCTTTTTGTTTGTTCCTTGTTTTAATGGAACCTGTAGAAGATTTGCTATTTCTGTCATGTTTAATTATAAATAAAAAATAAAAATTAATTATAAAAAGTTAATCAAATTTAACACCTCCTTTATTTAAATCAACTATTATTTTTCCATGTTCTCCTAATTGTTGATATTGTGTGTAAAGTTCATTAATGCTCATTGGTAAATTCACTTGATAAAGCATAACGTTCAACTGTTGACGACTAAAACCACTGAAAATGAAAAGGGTGGACAGGTTTGATTTAATGTTTGTGCTTAATGCTTTGAAATATTGAACAGCCATAAAGAATGAACATTGAATATGTCGACATTGAGTTAATAATTGATTAAAATATGATTTCTCATTAGTTATTAGTTTTGATTTCATGGCATCATCTAGAAAAATTAGTGAATGCAAAAATTCTTTATCAAAATTTGAAATAGAAAGTGTTTCAAATAATTCATCCCGTTGTTTATCAATAATTTTATCCTCTAATCCTTGCTTCTTGATTGTATTATATAATTCTTTATACATTAAAAAGTTTTTTAAATAATCTTCTGCTTCTTCTTGTGATAAATAAATAATTGGAATTTTGATTAAATGCTTTAAAGATTCAAATGTATCATCTGAAGGTGAACCTGAACGGTTGATATAAATTAACACATGTGAATAGGGGGAAGTGTTAGCAATAATGATAATTTGTTTTAATATCGTTAATGTTTTACCTTTATTTTGTTTACCAATTGCTGCAGTGATTGAATTTAAGTAACATTCAGAATATGGAATTTTCATTAATTTTTCCTTAGATAGAGCATTTCTATTATCACTCAATGCTTCATTAATCATATCATCTACGTATGTATTATATACTCCTGCTAATTCTTCATAAGGAGTGGATGAATTTAAATCCATTTAATCAAAAATAAATTTATAATTTTAAACATTTCTATTCATCAATATTTCATCATATGAACTTCTATACTGTGGTGGTGTACCTGTTGGATGATATTTCAAACCTTCGTCCGGTGTCCATGTCCAATATGTAGTTCTAGTAAACCAAACCTGAGGAGGATTTGTCACCTTTGAACAGTAAGTGTCATTTTCACCCTGAATGATTGGATAAGCTTTCACTTGTACTGTAACTTGTGAGTTGAAAGTTTCTAATCCATCAAAGAATATACCCGCTCCATCACGTTGAACTGGAATAGTGCATAAGAATGAAGTTTGGTCTTTCCATGTTCTAGCTAATGGCGTGCCATTATCATCATTCAGTGGTCTAGTTAATGAGTCCTCGTATTCTTCTGTGCATTCATTCACTCCATCTAAATCAGAAGCTTGAAGCATACGTGTAAAGAATATGTCACCCACTGTGGTCATCGCTTGATCGGGGAAGTTTCTGGAATCTATAGTGACCTGAAGACCTCGAAGCATTGGATTTTCTAAAACTGTTCTTTGCATTGCATTCTTCGGAAATGTTAACACAACATCTGTAACATTATGAAGAGCGTATGGGAAATCTGAGCTAATACCTTCAGGAGTGATGCAACCTCCATTTAGTGAACGAACGTCAATATGTTGAGCTGGAATCATGAATGGATCTTCCTTACTGAATAAACGTGGTATTGCTTTAACTGATTCTTCAATTAAACCATATCCTGGTGTAATGCATTTATCCTCTAAAACTTCCATCTTTGTGCATGAAATAATAACGTCATTAACTGTTGCGTCAGCAGATGTAGCGGCTAAGCCTGTAATTAATTTGGCAGGAAGTCCGATTTGTTGGAATTTGCGATCATATTTATAAACATGATTCATAATCTTTTCATAATTTTCATCAGTTATCTTTTCATAAACGTAATTTTGTAAATCAGCAACTCTTAACGGGTCAACCTGACAAAATACTAAAGTATCCCTGAAAACATAATATTTAAGAATGATATCACCAAATGATTTAGGATAATCATCGAACGCCTGAAATGCTAACAAATCATTTACCGGAATAATCATATCAAAAGTGACATCAACTTCTTCATTTGCTTTCTTGAAAACTTCTGAAGGATCAATATATTTACCACATACTGAGTTATCATATTTTTGAACATTATTATATAACGAATGAACAAACTTTTTAACTTTCCTTTCTGATTTTGGTTTATATGTTGCAAATGCGAAAGATTCACGGGCGCAATCCATCTGAAGATAACCGGCATCACCTCTTTCGGTTTCTACTTCTAATTGTTTAAAGCTTTGATTTGATGATTTGTAACCAACGAATAAACGCATGCATTTAAAAGCGGCATCACATGTGAAAGCTTTATTTGAAACTAGAGTTGCTTTAACTTTGCGTTTAATATATGTGTCACCTAATTGGTTCACATCATGAGCCGGATTTGTAATTCTTAAATGAGTTTGTTTATCATCAAAATATGGAGCATCAGAGTCATAGCATGAACTTTCAAGTTCTCTATAATATCTTCTACCGTCATTCTTTGCGAATATTTCATTTATCTTTTCGAATGAATGAAACACATTTCCATTAATCGGTTTAGTGTTTGGCACCAAATAGTTAGTAGTCATTTATTAATAAATAAAAAATCAAAATTAAAAGATGAAAATGAATTTTTAATTTTAATGAAATAATCAACTATGGCTGCAGGTATATTTAAAAACTGTGGGATAAAGTAAAAAGAGGAGCGAGTAAAGTTTGGGAAACATTGAAGAAGGGAGCAAATTGGATATTTAAGAATAAAGAAGCAATTAGTGACGTTGCTGAATCAATAACACCAAAAGCTGCCCAATAAGAGAAGTTTTAAATAAAGGAGAAAAAGTTTATCAAAGACTACAACCGATACTAAGATAAAAATAATATTATTTATTTTTCCACTATCTACCTCCTATTTTATTAAGTATTCCTTCAGCAATTCCACCAACTGCGTTACCTGCTTGTGCTCCCATCGCTGGATTACCTGCTTTAGTACCTAATACTCCACCTATGATAGTTCCTGCCGTTTTCGCTACTGGTGCCAAAAAGTTTGCAACGGGTTTAATAATCTTTTTATAAACCCAACCCGCAGCTTTCTTAATTCCATCCCATAATTTTTTAAAGAATCCTGCCGCCATTTCTGATTTAATATTAATTAAAAAATATATTTCATCACTTATATTCTAATTTTTATTTAATGATAAATGAAACTGATTTTAAAAATAAATGAAACAGAGGAGGAAGAAATAAATGAAAGTGAAAATGTTCAACAAAAAATAAACGTTGTTAAACCAATTACTGAAATAAAAATTTTTTCATCTGTTGAAGAATTTAATGACTATTATGCTAATAATAAAAAATTATTTGAAGAATTGACAACGTGTAAATTGAATAAAATGTTTAAAGTTGATGGATTCAAAATTTCAAAAATAAAGGGGGTGGTTAGTTTGAAATCTATTCCTCAATCAAGAATCACCTCATTAATGAAAATTGATGATTTAACAAAAAGAATAGAAGAGATTGAAGAAAGAATGAATCAAATAATTGATTTCATAAATTCAAATAATCATTAGTTTCTTAAAGTTCTATGTTGAACTCATCAAATTCTTCTTCATCATTACCATTACCATTACCTTTAGCAAGTTTATTTACTCTTTCAACTTTATCTTTTGATAGTCTTTCGTTTAATTTTTTCTGAAGTTTTTCGTTACCAAGTTCTAAAATTTTACATGGATGATATTTAAACCCGTTAAATTCTTTTTCCTCAGTTTTAATCATTAATCTACAAAGAACTTTAGTGAGGTGGTTTTGTTGTTTAAACCATTTATCCTTAATATTTGTTATAAATTCAATATCCGGAATTAATTCCCAAATTTTTGAATTTTCGATTAATTTACCATCAAATGCAAAAGCAATAGGTTTAATATTAAACTTACCTTTATAAAATAAACTTTGTACGCAATCATCAAAATAAACGTCTACTTGTTTAACCTGGGTGAGAATTGGTGAAAGTTTATCCATTAATTGATTCACAGTCATGAATTTAGAGCTGTTCATTTCATACAAAATAAAAAAATAAAATAATAAACATAACTAAGTTTTAATTTTTCGTAAGACATGAATTTTTAAAGTTTATTTTTTATTCATGAAAATAATTATTTCTAATTTCTTTTACTCTCTCGTATATACTAGATTTAAAGAATTCAGAACATTTCCCATAATCTCCTAAATGTTTTCTTATCTTATTGGTTTTCCATTCATTATATGAAACTGTATAAACTTTCTCTTTATCTTTGCATCTTTCATCACTTCCAATATATTTATATTTCAATTTTGATTTATTGGTTTCATATTCATTAACGTTTAATAATTCACAGTCTTCCTTTTTAAATAAATGTTTTATGTATTCAGGATTAACAATTCTATAATATTGCTTCCCTTTAAATCTTTGAATATAAACAGGAACACCATCCTCTAAAATTCGATAATCTATTTTATCTGGTTTTACTTGTTGGGTCATTTATGTAAGAATAAAAAAATAAATTATTTTAAAATTAATGTTAATTTTTTAATAATTTATAAATAAATATATTTTAATGCATCGTCTATATATAGATGTAACAAAAAAAGTCGCTAAACCCGTCATATCCTACTACTTAATAATCACATAAAAAATCAAATTTATTTTTTAATATCTTTTGTTTATTATAAAACTCTAAAGCAAATTAAGGCAGATACGTATTCATAATGCATTCTTTATGGTATTTATTATAAAACAAAGTGCTTTTCCAATATGAAACTTTTATTATCAGAATTTGGTCAAGTTAGATACTCTTTTTTAATGAAGTGATAGTTCAAATAAAAAAAGTTATACATATCAGTGACTGTTAAAATGCCAAATTTTCTAATTATTTATGTCAAAATGATATTGTAATTATAGATGCAGGAAAAAACCGTCACCATATGACAAAGGTGTCACCAACCGTATAAATTTCCACGCAAAGTAGTTCTTTTATTAAAAAAATCCGTTTTTGATTAAATAAATAAACAAGTTTTTTAAATATTAGCACTGTTAGTGTACAGCTTATTATCAGAAGTGAATAACAGAGATTCAATTTCTGATTCCTTATAATTAATCTTATCTTGTTTCTTGCATGAAGCTACAACACAAATTATTACAACAATTACAATAAGAACAAATACAGAAGATGCTGTAATTATAATGAGTTTCTTCCTTATTTGATTGTCTCCTGATGAAACACAAAATTCAGTTGTGGAACATGGAACTCCTGAAATTGAAGATTTTCCATAATCTTTCGAAACGAAAATCTCTTTCAGTTTAGAGCATCCTGTAAAGAGATCTTTTGATTTAATTTGCTTTGTTCCGCAATAAACAAACTTAGAAAGTTTTGTGTCATTCACAAATACATTGCTAGCGATTGATGACAGATTTGCTAAATAAACTTCAGATAATTCATTGCAATTAGCAAATGAATAATTTCCTAAAATCACCATGGTTGTCAATGTCAAATTGTAAATTCCAGTATTCGAAAATGAAAAATCTCCAATAAATGAGACATTATCGAATTTAAACTCTTTCAATTTTGGACAATTATAGAATCCATAATCTGAGACCTCTTGAATCTTTTTCATAGTGATAAACTTTTGCAAGCTAATACAGTTTTCGAAACAATGGGAAGGAACTATTTCTAAATTAGAAATCTGAATTAATTCTAAACTTTCGCATCCAGAAAATGAATAACTTGAAACAGACAAAATGTTTCCTGAAATATTTCTCAGATTCTTACAATTATGGAAAGAAAATTGTCCTAAGTTCAAATTACTGGAATTAAGGAAAGTCATTTCGTAACATGAGCAAAAACAATGATCAGAAATCGATAAATTCTGAGGAGAATTGATTGTTATGTTTTGCAATTTTTGACAATTTTTGAATGCTGAATTTCCTAATTTATTCAAATTGTCGCTTTTAATTGTAAAGTTTAATAGAGATGAGCATTCATTGAAAGAAGAATCTTCAATTGTTTGGACATTTGAAATGAAATCGATTTTAGATAGTTTCGAACAATTATTAAATGAATATTCTCCAACTTTCTCAACAATTCCATTTGCAACTATCTTTTCTAAACTTTGAAGTCCATCAAAGCAATGTGGATTAAAGATGATGGATGGTGAAGTGACATTTATTTCAGATAAAATATTTTGTTGTCCAAAAACATTTTCACCAAATGTAACTTTTGAACTTTTTAGTATCAATAATTTTTGAAGATTGGATAATTCGTTAAATATAGAACTTTGGAAGTCTAATTGGCCTTGTGTATTTATAATTAAATTCTCCAAATTTGAGTTTGAGAGTGAATTTGCTTCTAAAGTAATGTCAGCATTTATTTCAAAATTGACAAGATTTTTCATTTCTTTCATTGAATTTCCTTTAATTGTCACTTGATTTGATGCTATTCTTAAATCTCTAACATATGGGATAATCTTTGCAAAGTCAACTGATATAACTAAGCCATCGACAATATTACAATCAATAGTATTCAAATTTGAACAATTCTCAAAAATAGAATTTCCAAATGTAGCTTTTTCACACATCATATTGATATAATTCAAACTGGTGGAATCAGCAAATGAGAAGTCTTTGAAACTAATTATTTTGCTTGAAATTGTCACTTGATGTAATGAATCAATATTTCTAAAACAACTTACATCTAAATAAAGTTCATTTGCGTCAAAGTTCATATTATTAAGTTTATTGTGATTGGAAACTGCATCTTCTTTAATTTCAATTACATTACATTTTGTAAATGATAATGTTTCCATGTTTTTAAAGCCATTAAATGTTTTTTGACCAATATATTTCAATGAATAAACAGCAAATACAACATCATTAACATTTCCAAAGTAATTGAAACAATCATCATCGAAAAGTGTCAGATTGTCAATTGAATCGACTAAAATCAACTGTGTAATAGAATCTTTCGATGAATCAAATACATTGACATTCATTTGATTGAATAATGGATATGTAATCGATTTGATATTTGATGATTTTTCGAATGCAGATGATGAAATATCTTTCAATGATTTTCCTAAAACAACTTCGGATAATTTTGAACAATTTCCAAATGAAGAATTTCCTAGAAACGTAACACAATTTGGCAATATAATTTTTGTCAAGCTATAGCAGTTCTGGAATGCATTTTCATAAATGAATTCTAAGTTTTTGATGTTGTTATCAAAAGTAACAGTTTGCAAACTTAAACAATCTTTGAAACAATTATCAGAAATGAAATACAAGTTTTCATTGATTGTAACGCTTTCTAGTTTCGAACAGCCACAGAATGCAGCTGATCCGATCATTGTCAGAGATTTTGGCAAACCATTGACAATTTCTTTCAAATTTTTACAATTTTGGAAACATGAAATTCCAATTGAGTTTATATTGTCATTAAATGTTACACTTTCTAAACTTGTGCATCCATAAAACAAATCAGAATAAAGAATTGTAACTTTTGGAGGAATTGTCATCTTTCTTAAACTGATGCAGTTTCTAAATGAAAATGAACTAATCAAAGAAACAGAATCAGGAAGAATAATTTCTGTTAATTGTTTGCATCCATCGAAACAATTCAAGAATATATTTTGTAAATCTTTAAAAGGTGTCTTAAACGTAACTTTTTCTAATCTTTCACAGTTTCTAAAACTGTTTGCTCCAAAAGACAAAATGTTTGGAGTGTCTAAAACCACCTCCTTTAGATTTTGACAATCTTGGAAGTAATTGTCAGGAATTTTTAGCAAAAACATATTTTCGCTTTCGATAATTGTAATTTTTTGGAGTTCTGGACAGAAAACGAATGGTGATCGTATATATTTTTGCTCAGTTAATACGAATGTAAGTTCTTTGAGAGCGTTGCAAGCATCGACGACGTCATCATGTAAAGTATTTATTTTTTTCTTGAATTCCATACTGACAAGAGAAATACAGCCTTGGAAGCATGCTTCTCCTATCACTTGTAGTTTGTCAGGTAAATTTATCTTTTCAAGGCTGCTACAACCGGCAAAGCATTCATTATCAATTTTTACTAAGTTTTCTGATAATTTAATGGATTCTAAGTTGATGCATCCTTTAAAACATGTAGGTCCTAAGTGTGTCATAGTATCTGGTAATGAAACATTTAATAAATGAGAGCATGCGTAAAATGTGGATTCTTCTAAGATATTTAACCCTTTTGGAAATGTTATAGAAGCTAACTTATAACAAGCGTAGAAACAACCTTTTCCAATATGTGTAATGGAATCTGGCAAATTAATCTGTGGCAAAGATTTGCAGTTTTGGAAAGCATAATCACCTATTATTTGTATTCCATTTGGTAATTTAACTGATTGTAAGGATGTACATGTATCAAAAGCGCTGGTTCCAATAATTACAGGTGAATCTATTTCGATTGATGTTAAACTTTTAAAAGAATAGAATGCATTATTGTCTATTCCTTCTACTCCATTCATTATTTTAAGTTGTTCCGCTTGAGATTTATATTTTGACACTTCATTAATTGAGATATTGCCACTTCCTGAGCAAGTGATGATGTGGCTATCATAAGTGCATGTAGCAGAAATCAATTTTACTTCCTTTACTAACAGTTGTTTAAATTGTAAGTAAAGGAAAGATCTCATTTGATGAGAATTTAAATAATAATGAAAAATCAATATCAAAAAAAGAATATTATATCATAGGTATAAGTATCGATGATGTCAGTAATGTATAAAAAACAAAAAAATAAAATTATAAAAAATTAATTAGATAAATAGATAAACATTGTATTTAAATACATACAAGAAAAACAAAAAATAAATAAATTATATAGCATTCTGAGGGAAATCGTCCTTTGTAAACAATTTTGGATCAGGAACTCCAGCTTCATCAAATAAACCATAAATTTTCATATCCTTATTACCCCTAACGATTCCTATTGCCACTTTTGCATGATTTATCAACTCAGAAGAGCCAATCTTTTTAGCAACTTCGAGAGCTTCGAGATAGAACTTCTCTGCGCGCTCGAAATCACCGTAGAAGCAGTTTAACTTACCATTAGATATCAACGCGTTGTAAGCGGTACTCAAATCTCCTTGTTCCTGTGAAATTCTTGCATCTTGGCTGTAATACTGTTCCTCAGCGTCTATTTGTCTTCGGCCTATATCAGAGCGCTTGAGACGATCACCGAAAGCGAGCTGAGAAAGCTGTGTAGCTCCAATATCGTTAACTAAAGATTCTCTTTCGGCCAAAACGAGTTCATCCTTTAATGCACCACGGATTTTCTCAATCTGTTCGTAAAATGGTGAATCTTCCGCTTCATTCATCTCTGTTGCTGTATCTAATGCCGCTTGATAAAATTCAACTGATCTTTGATTGTCACCTTTGGCTCTGTAAATGAGGGCTATATTACAGTTGGCGGCTATTGTTTCGAACATGGACCTTGAAAATGAAAGATGGCGCATATTCCATTCAATAGCTTCATCATACATTTCCATGAGCTGATAGTTAACGGCAATACGGTTAAAAACAAGAGGATCTGCATCAGCACCTAATGTTTGTAAGTATTTCATGTAATATTCGTTCGCGCGTTTAAGATAACCTTCACTTTCGTAAAGAAGGCCAATGTTGAAGTAAGCTGATGATTCGTCTTTGATATTTCTCGATCTGAGTGATGCTTGAACGAGAAGTTGAAGATCGCGAAGAGTTTTCTTTGTATCTGGGTTTGATGTGCCTTGATTTAATCTTAAAGGCTGCAAACCATCGAAATCAATTGAAACAACTGATGGTTTAACAGCTTCGTTCACAGCAAATGGACCTTCAGCTACAATTCTTTGAGGATTTTGTAAAAGAGAAGGACGTGGGTGATTTGAATCACTTACACTCAATGCTGAGAATCGTGCTGGATTTTGTGGTACGCATAATTGATATTTTTCAACATCTAACTGAGGATCGTTTTTAATTGTTTTAGTTGTACTTTCTTTCTTTTCAACCATCTTTTTCGCTTTCTTGGCTTCTTTAGCACGATTTAATTCGGCCATATGTGCATCAATTTGCCTGGCAACGGCCGGAGGGACGCAGTTAGGTCCAAAATCTGGAGGAGCTGAGAAAGCTGCAGGCGCTGGGTAGTAACCAATCGATTTCTTATCCTTTGTCTGACGTAATGATGAGTTGTTTCCTTTTGTAGATGATTTTAATTTAGGTGATACTATAGAGCGCATTTAAAATAACGTGTCTAATGACGATTAAATAAACTTAAGAAAATCATCCTCGCTATAAAATCTTCAATAAGATAATTAAATAGAGTTATGTACTCTCTGGATTTACATTTAGTATCTCAAAAAGATTATATTTAATAGTTTTTGAAGCAAATTTATATAAATGTCAATCTCAAGATTCATTGGGCAAACCCAAATTTTAGCTAAAAGTGACAGGGGAAAAAAACGTTTAGTATTAAAAAAAAAGACCGATGAGAGCTTCGTTCGAAATATAGAGGGAACTGAGAATGCGCAACCATTCTCAGGGAATATTGGATGCTATTCCCGTTCCCTCTGTATGGAAAATTGAGGTTTTCAAAGGGAGTTAAAATAATATCAAATTTATACTAATTTACTTCAAAATACAAAAGTATTTGACAGCTAAAATTAGTTACTTTAGCAAGCCCATCAATACCCTTTTACGATTATTGCTACTTTTTCGAAATAAAAGTAAAAACAAATTTATACTAATTTACTTCAAAATACAAAAGTATTTGACAGCTAAAATTAGTTACTTTAGCAAGCCTATCAATACCCTTTTACGATTATTGTTACTTTTTCGAAATAAAATAAATTTATTATCAAAAACCTTTTTTTTCTTAGTAAAAATAAAAAGGTTATTTTATATCAAGTTTTTATTCATAAATTTTTATAATGTTGTATAAATTTGAAGGTGGAAATCTGTAATAATTTTATCTTGAAAAGACTTGGCATTCTCAACAATGAATTGAGGGGTATTGCATCCAAATTCTGTAATTTGCGCGAGCGAAGCGAGCGGCTTAGGTCTAAGATTTTGATTCAAATCTTTGCTTATATTCCTTAAATTCTTTATGAAACTCGCAACAGTTCCATAAAAAATTTTAAATTCTAAACTGTCGAAATTACCGATCGGTAATCACACCCTTCACAGGTGTGTCGCTTTTTACAGGCGTGTCACTTTTAGCTAAAATTACCCCTACTCAGATTCATTGTTTTGTTAAATTAGGTAGATTGTGTAATAAAACAATTTATCTAATGGAAATATGAAGATTTAATGAAAATATCGTACTTAGTGAATTCAGAGTTATTCGAGCCAAAGGTAACTAAACTACTTTCGCCGATCCGATTTGCTCCATATTTAAAATATAGCTTGCATATGTAGAAGAAAAGCTAATTTTGAAGTACGCCCGAAATCCACCAACAGGATTTCGAGCTACTAAAAAGGTACTTTTAAATGTGATTTTTTTTATAAAAAATTAAATTTATTTTAAGATCAGACTAAAAACTAATTTTATGGAAAATCTATATCGACAAATTTATTACTTATTGGGTATATAGATTTTTTGATTATGGCGATTATGTCTGATATGCTTCCAATAAGCCAAAACACATTTCATACTGATTTCTATAAAAGGTATCTTTATTATAGAAGTGTAAGCTATATCTGTTTGTTTTTTTATTATAACAAATTCAAAATTCTCTTATAAGGACTAGATGAAATCTGTATTATTAAATCATTAGCTAAATGAAGGTTCAAATAGAAAGTAAATATCAATTTATATGATACTGAAACCAAATAGTTCTTTTAATAAAAGATAACACGCTGAAAATTATTGAGTATTTGCAAATCTCAAAAATCTATTGGTGAATTTGGCTCAACTTTTAAAATTATAACATCCATATCAAATCATAAAAGCAGACAAAAATTAAAGCCAAACCTATCGGCCAATTTTTTTTGATATTTTGATTTTTGAGGTATACTTTTAAAAGTGGATTTAAAGCACTTATGAAAAAACATTAACTTCTGTCGTTATGATTATTGATTTAGACAATAATGATTTTAATCTTTGATTATCAAAACACTAAAGTCATCTTTTTAACATTTGCTTGGTAGCATTAACTCAAGTCTAAAGTACTATTTTATGTGGCACTCTTAGAATTTTTGTATTCATTGTACACGCTGAAATAGTACCATTAAAGTTATGGCGGACTTTCAAAAAATAGTTTGGTCACCTTTTTCGAGCCTATATCTATGTAACTTGAGAAATATATTAGCTAATTTCATGATACTATCATACAGTAATCTTAATTATCAAAGAATATTTGAGTTATCCAAGGGTTTTTACTTACGATTATTCAAAATTATGAATGTAAAATTGATTTTGACGCAAAAGCATTCAGAGTAATTCGGTTTTGTAGAGATTTAACTCAAAAAATGGTGAAAATACGAAATGTGGTGAACCGATATGTTTAATACGCAAAAAATAATATAAATGATTACCAATCATAATCAACATCAGTAAAAGAGTAGTATTTTGGAATATCTTCATGGGAAGTTTCAACAGAATTTGCTGTTGGGAAGCGGATATCCTTCTTCTTGAGATTTTCGTCAAGTTCGAGAATACCGCCTAAGTTACCACATCTGCCGCAGTAATCTGGGGCACTAAAAACAGTAACAATTTGATTATTATGATTATATTCAAGACCGGAAATAACCAGTTGGTGTCCTCTAGCTGTGAGCTCCAAACCATTCTCTTCGTTCCAGCGTTTAGTGATATCTGGGCCGAATTGGTAGCCAGCATCACGTTCTGAAGGACGGAAGCCTGCCTGTGGTGCTGGATCACTCCAGACGAGATCACAAAGTGGTCCCTTGTGAGGAATTTCTGTAAATCTGTCGAGCATTTGAATATCTTTGATTGTACGAAGAGATGGTGACAAACCGCCATGAACGCACAATATCTTATCGTTAATGAGTGCTGCTATTGGAATATTGCAGAATGTTTCTGTATAAATCTTCCAAACTGTGTCGTCGCCATATCTGTTTACAACTTCTTCACGAAAACCAAAAACTTGTGAGATTCCGGCACTTTCGTGATTTCCTCTCAAGAGGGTGATGTTCTTTGGATATTTAATCATTAAACAGAACAAGTAGGAAACTGTTTCAACAGATTTTGCACCACGATCAACATAGTCTCCCATGAAAAGATAGTTGGTAAATGGGATCTTACCACCTATCTTGAACAATTCCATGAGATCTTCGAACTGTCCATGTATATCTCCACAAATGACAACTGGCGCCTGAACAGGGATAACGTTTGGCATTGTTCTGAACATTTGGGTGGCTGTCTCATTGATGTACTTGATATCCTCTAATGAAGGAATTTCATTTCTTTCGATCTTTGCTATGATAGTATCAGCAGAGATGACTTCCATTGAATTGAAATTTTTTTTGATTTTGTGAAATATTTCAAAGATCTTTACAAAAGATGATCCCCACTTAAATAAAAATCAAACATCTTATTGCGATGATTAAAATATATATATTTCATATAATGGGCCACTGATTTGAATGGAAAACACAAATATTCTGAGGAAACACAAATTAAAAAAAATCATTATTTATGGGAGATTGGAAATATTAAATTATATAGATTTTATGCTAAGTTTGTTAAAGATATATAACTTTCACAAGTAAATGAAAATTGAGAACTGATAATTGAAAGAGAAAATTTTACCCCTTTATCCCCATTTTATTTCTTCGTAATTCAAATTGCTTGAATATATTACATATTAAATATATGATTAATTACCCTTATTGAGATCAGAATTCAAAATTGATTTTGGACTAATATGATAGATTCAAAATACAATTTAGCAATATTCATTATTTCCGATTTTCTTTTAGAGAAAATTCAAAATAATAATTATCTTTTTTTCAAAAATTATCAATATCTAAATTTGAATGATACATCTATTATAGTAAAAATATCTATTAAATATTAACTGAAAAGCAATGTCTAAATTAAAGCTTTAGATTTTTCAAATTATCTTCAAAAATACCGGTTATGCTAAGAAGGGAACACGTATTTTTTTGTTTTACATATAATCCATTAAAATTTGATGAAAAGTTTCTCTATAATCATGCGGAACATTTGAATTCAATTTTTGAAAAGTTATTTGTAAAGTTTTCAAAATTGAATAATGTAGATTTTGAACATTGAATGTTTGAAATGATATTTGATTTAGACTATATTAATCATGTATACAAAAATTCATACATATTCCATAAAGAATATAATGTTGTTTAACTAAAATGATGAGAATAATAATGAAATTAAATAATATAAATCTTTCTTTATCTTTCTCGTGAAATGGGTCATTGTGTGAGTGAGGTACTTCGTTTTTGAAGTGCATATATTTAGTTACAAAAAAATGTTTTTACAATATCTTTTTTTAGGAAAAAAAAGATATTTATTACAGTTTAGTCTGATATAATAAATGTGTAACTTTGAAATTGCAAAGCACAAAATATTGGCTCTTAAAGAAATTGTAATTCAAGGGGAATAATTAATTTTGCAAAGGAATCGTCAACCCTATGGTTCCATAATAATTAAATGGGATCCGAATGGCAAAGCTTAAAATTTTAAAACAAATTTATGGGATCCGTTTGATTGAAACCGCCAGATGTATCTCAAAGTATTTACTGCAAAGTATTAAACGAATTGAATTATATAAGGAAAATGTTAAAATTCAGATGAAAAATTTTAAAAATTCAATTAAACCTCAATAATTTTCATCAAATATTTGGATGCCTAAAGAGCACTATTCTTATGGGCACCTCAATGCTCTGATGCCACAATTTGCAAGCTATTGTAGCACAATTGATTCAATTTACCTGTTAAGAACAGATGTTGATGAAGAATTAAATAGAATTTATCAAATGATAGAAAATAACCTGATTCTATGGCAGTCCCAACGGGAACCGCGGTAATTTACCGAGGTTTCCGCACACCTGTTCCTTTTTTTAGGAATTTTTTAGATTAAAAAATATGCTTTGTAAATCATTTTTTGTAAATCGGCAAAAATTTGGAAATATTCTGATGACAATAAATCTGGGAATAGTATTTTAAATACGAGAACAACCTATTTAAAAGTGTTTCGCTCGATTTTGTATAATTTCAAATTTTCGCATATAGCTTTCCGTGAATTACCGTGATTTTACCGCCACATCAATAGTTTACGACACTTTTTCCGTAAATTGAGTAGTTTACTGCACTTTTTCCGTAAAATTGAGTTACGGGAATCCGTAAGATTACCGTACTTCACTTCTAGTTGAAAATAGCATTAGTATATAATAAATAGATATATTATTCATATTTTTGATTTTGAATTACGGAAAAAGTGAGTTCAGAACTTCCAATTATTATTTGATTAATTATGTTAAAAATACTATAAGGAATTAAAATACATAATGTTGAAATTTGAATTACGGGAAAAGTGAGAGTGAAAGTGAAGTGAAAAAGTAAGATATTTTTTGTTGAAATAATCATAGTTGTACAATTTTGAAACTATATGTAAAGCTATAAATTGAATAAATTCAAAAACAAAAATTGTTTATTCTTATTAATAAATTTATATTAATCAATATTTGAACAACCCGTAATTAAAATTGAAATCCTCTTAAAATTTAATCCATACGTTAATTTTTAATTTGCTCGGCGAATGCCGAGCTTCCCTACTTCTCTTGTCATTCCTTCAAAAACTCTAATCTCATCGCACTTACAAACATCATGATTTGATGTATTGTCGAGAAATCTTAGACTTGTTTGTCATTTGATTATAGCATTTGAAAGTCATCTCGAAAATCGATTAACAAGACAATTTCCCAAACATCTACATACAAGTAGATGATGGTAAACCCATTAGAGTTGTTTTGCTATGATTCCTCCAATCTTATGATGAGAAAAATCATATCAAAACAGCTCTAATCGAACATTCTACACAGCTTAGCATCCAGCTAGTTCCAAGTAATGCGATTACAACATCAACGGCCAAAGCCTTTCAGAGTCCTTTAATCATTTCTTCTCATCTCAATGTGAAGTGGCCCCAAACGAACTACAAGCTGACGTTACAACGCATTACAACCCGGTTAATACGAGCATATACATTAGAACTGCTTTGTTATGATCTCCCTCATCAAATGATGAGAGATCTCATTATGAAGCAGCTCCAATCGAACTAAAAACCTACATACAAATGAGTGAAAACAAACTCATTAGAGTTGTGTTGCTTTGATTTCTCTCATCAGAAGATGAGAGATACCAGAACAAAACAACTCTAATCAAACTTTCTACACAACTCAGCACAGTATCAATGCAAAGTAATGCGTCTGTATCGTTAACAAGCAAAGTTGTTTCGGGTCCTTCCATTTTGGAAGAATTCGGAACAACTTTGCGAATTGATAGTGTAAACCCATATACATGAAAGCGTGCATGCATAAAGACAGGTATTGTCAGCAATGACTACCTGCCCAGCTATGAGTGATCAGAGAATTACCATCTCAGGCTTTTTGAGAACATTTCAGCCAGGACCCTCGTATGTTGACTGTGAGAAAGGCATCCTTTATCTGAAATAGATGCTTTTCCAACAATCAAATTCGAAGATCTTCGACGTTGTTGTAAAAAGAGAAGGAAAAGGAAAGAAAAGGAAGGAGAGGAAGAAGGAAAGGAAAAGAAGAAGTGTTGTGCATGAAAATAGCGTGACTTCACTTTTGACAAAAAGTGACACTATTTCTGATGGTTTTGTCATTTATTTGTCAGATTTATAAATGGATAATAATGCTGTAAATCAGATATTAATTAAAAATATTTAAGATTTATGTTCGAATTGAAAAGCAAAATGATATTTTTTTAATTGAAAAACGTTAATATAGGGTGTCCAAAGGTGCGTTTAGCACAGCGCTCTATATGAGACTATTAAAGGAGATATATGCTGATTATAAATATATAATAAAAAATATGAATATATGTATATGATGAGTATGTTGTATTTTGGCGCCATGCCGGGATATAAAATGAATTTTGAGACAAGAGGCGGTTTCGCGGGAAATTTTGGCGGGATTTTTTTTCATTTTTTTAATGAATCATAAAGAAAACATCCTCGCTCTTGCAAAAAAATGCAAAGACTGTAAAAAATCTACGAGACATTGGTAAAATGCTTCGGTATGGATGCTCCTAGCTATTCCACTGTAACGTATCATGTTAGGATGTATCACTTCATGAACAAAAAGGCGCCCATCATAAAAATTGACAAAAAATCGCCGGATCAAAGAAAAATCAAAGCAATTCTTCAAGTGCTAGATGAAGACCCAAGAGCATCACTCAGAAGGATAGAGGAGATGACAAAGATACCACGTACAACAGTCAGTTATTATCTGCACAATTATTTGAACTACAAACTAGCGTATACACGTTGGGTTCCGCACAACCTTAATTCAGTTCAAAAAAAATCTAGAGTCCAATCTTCGAAAGAGCTCCTCTCTATATTGGGTGCGTATCAATCCAAGAAGTTTCGCTTTTTAGTAACAGGGGACGAGTCTTGGTTTCAATATGCAACAGAAGCCAAAATCATGTGGATCCCGAAGGATGAAAATCCGCAAACATTCCCGAAGAAAAAAATTGACACACCAATGATGATGTTGTCGGTTTTTTGGGGCGTGAATGGCATCATCGCAATTGATATTCTTCAAAAACCTAATGGTGCGAAAATAAATTGTCAATCAAAATCAGGGAAAAATCTCCTTCATATTGCTGCACAAAATTGCAACCATGAAATTGCAAAAATGTTCATTTCATATGGTATAAATATTAACAGTTTAGATAATTCTAGAAAAACTGCTCTTCATTATGCAGTACTAAGCAATAATAAGGAAAATGTTGAGAATCTAATATCATTTGGAATTGATATCAATAGAAAAGATTATTACGGAGAAACTGCTCTTCATTTAGCAGTGGAGAAAAATTATAGTGATATTGCTGTTAACATTATTTCACATGGAGCAGATTTTAATATTAGAGATATGGATGGAATAACTGCTTTAATAAAAGCTGTGTTAATGAATAGAATATTAATTGCAACTAATATTCTCTCGCATGGTGTAGATATAAATAAAGTAGAACGTAGGGAGCGGCCATTGCTTCATCTTGCGGCAATATGTAACCATCCGGAAATGATGCAATTGCTTTTATCATTTAATGCAGATATAAATGGAAAAGACTCTTCCGGCAAAACAGCTCTGCATGCCGCAGCAATACAATGTTCCAAAGATGCTGTTATGTTACTTATTTCGAATGGCGCAGAGATTAACGCAATTGATAACGATGGAAACACTGCGCTGCATTATGTAGCAGAAAATAAAAAAGCTATTGAAATAGCAGAATTTCTTATTTTGCATGGTATTAATGTGAACATAAAGAACAGTGAAGGAAATACAGCACTACTTTATCATAGTGTGTATGAAAATGTCAGAATGTCAGTGTTTCTTATTTCAAATGGAGCAGATATAAATTCAACTGATAATAATGGAATATCTCTTCTTCATAAAATTGCATCATCATGCTATATTGTTAATATTCCATACATATCTTTTCTTATTTCCCATGGAATAGATGTAAATGCAAAAGATAGCAGGAATCGTTCTCCTCTTCATTATGCGATAGAACATCATAAAAATCAAATAGGTCAATTTCTTATTTCTTATGGGGCTGAGGTGAATTCAAAAGACTCTAAAGGAAACATTCCTCTTCATTATGCTGTAAAGAATGATAATATGGAAATGTTAGAATTTCTTATTACGCATGGTGCAGATATTAATGCAACAAACAACAAAGGTAAAACCCCTCTTCAATATGCCCTGCTTAAAAATAAAAAAGAAATCATCAATACCCTGATCTCTCATGGTGCACTTACGAATTCAGAAGATGTTGATGAATACAAGAAGAAAGCATGTGGAATATAGATTTATAATGCTTTTGAATAAGTTTTTTGATTAAATAATATATAACAATGATTTATATTTTTAAAAGATTTTTGGGTTAAAACATGAAAAGATTTTTATCTTGTAAGAAGACATGCAATTATAATAAACTTTATATATCAATTTTCTAAGTTAAAAAGTTAATTTTGTTCGGGAAAAAGTTATTATAATTCACTTCCTAGTAACTCATATGATTGTTATACTTTTTTGTTATTAAAATAAAGACATATTGATATTATGCGAGCATGTCAGAAAGTGGTAAGTGCACCCTTAAAGCATTAAAATTTACGATTTCAATTTTACTAAAGTATTCATATATAAAGCGATATATATAAATTCAATAATAAAACGATACGGCTGATCCCTATATGGGATGAATTTAAGTCTGGGATCCGAATTGTAAACTTCAGAAATACACAAATGAAATTACAACATTTTAATGGGGGAAAATGATGTTGTTTTTGAAGACAAACAGGGGATAATTATATAGATGAAAATTTTTGGAAAATTGATGAAAATTTTTCTTCACTTATTTTGATGTCCCAGGAACAGAATTCTCAGCAATACTTTATTGAATTAATGTCGCGTTTTACTAAATACAATGATATATTTAATGCAATATATTGCATGAAAACCCATAACGCAGAAGAAATTAATAAAATTTATAAATTGATTGATGTAAATTTAATTCAGACAAATTTCTTTGCAATAGATGATATCTTAACTGTATTGATAACTACATTAGTATTGAATAATCGATATGCAGGCTCATATTTTCAAATTTACAAAAAAATACGCGAATCATATGAAAACATGAGTAAAAAGGCAGCAACAATATCATTTTTTGAAACATTCCAATCAACTCATAATTCTCTTAATGTTCATGAAGAAAATACAATTTATTGGGCAATTATGTATGATGATATTAAGTTATTCATATCATTTACTGAAAGAGAATCATTTGATGCAAATATGGCTCTAGTAAGTGATTATTATCCAATAACAGGAAATGTATACTCATTACTTGAGCTATGTTGCTATTATGGATCTGTTAATTGCTTCAAATTTCTTAGAACTGAATTCAATTTACAAATTAATCACACATGTCTCGAATTTTCATTTTTGGGCGGAAAGCCTGATATCATGAATGAGTGCTTAAAATATCAAACACCTGATCAAAACTGTATGGTATTAGCAATTGCTTCTCATAACATTGATTTTGTTACGTTTTTGATGAATGAATACGATTTAAAGATTGATTTATCAGCGTGTATAAAATTCAATAACTTGCAGGCATTCTTTGTTTATTTAGATCAAACAAAAGATCTCAACGAATGTTATATTCTCTCGCCTAGTTTTCATATACCTTCAATTTGTGAATATTTCCTTGAAAATAATGTAAAAATTGATGCAACAGATTCTGAAAATGAAAAAACTGCGCTTCATAATGCTGCATATTACAATTGTGTAGAAGTAATGCAATTTCTGCTCTCTCATGGTTTATGTGTCGAAGAAAAATCTAAATATTTAAAGACTCCACTTCATTTTGCAGCCGAGAATAACAGTATTGAATCTGTTGAATTCCTTTTATCAAATGGTGCAAAAATCGATGCGCGGGCTTATTATATGGAAACTCCTCTCCATTATGCATGTAATTATAATTGCATAGAAACAGTAAAATTACTGATATTGAATGGTGCAAACATCAATGCAAAAACGAAACAATCAAAAACAGCTTTACATTTTGCAGTTAAAAATAACTGTAAGAATATTGTGAATATTCTTATTACATATGGAATTTCACTTAATATTCGGGATAAATCTAGGAAAACGGCACTCTAGTATGCATTTCAGGAAAAGAAAAAAGAAATAGTAGAAAATATTATTTCAAGTGGTGCAAATTTACATTCTAAATATTCAGATGGGAAAAATTTCATTCACTATGCAGCAATTTTTAATTTGACAGCAATATTAGAAACTCTTATTTCAAAAGGATTAGATGTCAATGCTACGGATGAAATTGGTTTAACACCTCTTCATTACGCAGCACAATATAATTGTTGGCAAGCTGCAAGTATTCTGATTTCAAATGGAGCAAAAACTAATGCACGAAATAATCGATGTGATAACACACCTTTACATCTTGCAATTGATAATAACTCAATAGAAACAATGAAAATTCTAATTTCTCATGGAGCCGATGCAAATGCATATACTTACCGCAATGAAAATTCACTATTTCAACTTGCCATTAAAAAATCTAGAAGATATGATTGAACTTTTTATAACGCATGGTGCTGATGTTAATTTCAAGGATTCTAAGGGATCGACGGCTTTATACTATGCCATTGATATAAGGTCAATAAAAATAATGCAAATTCTCATAAAATATGGGGCAAATATCATGGAAAAAAACAAATATGGATATACTCCCTTACATTATGCTGCAGAACATAATTTCAAAGAAGCGGTAGAAATCCTTATTTCCTTGGGAGCAAATGTAAATGAAATTGATGCATCAAAAAATACTCCTCTCCATATTGCCGCTTTAAAGAATAGTTTAGATGCTGCCCAACTTTTATTAAATAGTGATAATATTAATGCAAAAAATCAATATGGTTATACAGCTCTGTTTTATACGGCAGGAAATAATAATGTAGAATTTGCTGATTATCCTCTTTCTCATGGTGCTGATGTTAATCTAAAAGGATTGGATGGAAGAAATGCTCTTATTTATTATGTAATGCAATCAAGATATTTTAACGCAAATGTAAACGTTATTGATTTATTGATTTCTAGAGGATGTAATATGGAAGCGAAAGATGATTATGGTAAGACGGCCCTTCATTATGCAATTACAACTGATGAAAGATTATTGATAACACTTTTTATTGAAAGAGGAGCAAATTTAAATTCGAAAGATAATGATGGGAAAACTCCCCTCATATCTGCTGTAGAAAAAAATGCTGAATCAAATATAAATTTGCTCATAACCTATGGTGCTAACGTAAACGAAAAGAATAATAAGGGAAGTACAGCTTTACATTATGCTGCAAATATTGGAAGCAAACGTATTGCAAAAAACCTCATTTCTCAAGGAGCCAATATCAATGAAAGAAATAATCTTGGAAAAACACCTCTTCATTATGCAGATTATTCTTATCATATAGATGTTATTGAATACCTTATATCACAAGGTGCAGATGTAAATGCAGTCGATAATGATGGAGTAGCTGCCTTAAGCTATAATAAGAGGTATATTCAATATGGGAGAAGGTGCACAATTTGACTTTCTTTTTTCCTTTGAATTTGAATAAAAATTTTATAATATTTTTTGTTATTCAATTAAGTAAATCACATACTTTCATGTTTTGTCGTTCAACAACCATGCTACTGAACTTTATTTAGCTGAATGCTTTGTATAATGAGCTTGTATTAAATCTCTAGTCAATTGCAATTTTTTTGAATATAATTTTAATTATATGAATTTTTAATTGTCAAAAAAATTAATTAAAATCAGATTGCGTAAGTGCATGCGTAATTAAAGAAGAAGGGAAAAAAACGTGTTTGAGTTCTCAAAGATGTTGTAATTATAAAATTTTTCTATTGGTGTGATATTATTATTAACCATCAAGATTCAGATGGGATTTGGTAATTTTTCTAAGCGACCAATTATTAAAACTCATTGAAAAAAAAATAGAAAAACAATTATCAAAATTTTGTTATACTACTGCCTAATGTACTCTTGTGTTAGGACAAAATTTTGGGATCCGAAAAAAAAATAAACTTCAGAAATTTGTTTCTGAAAACAAAGAAAAAAAATTCATACTATTTTCATGTCCGAAGAAAATTGTGGGCACAAAATCTTCAATGAATTGACGAATCAATTTTCAAGCTTTAATAATATGATTGTTGCATTGTATCACTTGAAAACAGACAAAATGGATGCAATCAATGAGATTCATTTACGGATTGAAGAAGATATATTGGAGACAAATCTTTTATCACCAGATGATATTTTATTAGTTATAATGGAAGCAATGAAATGCAATATGCGCTATTCCTGGTCATATTATACAATTTACAAAAAATATGTGAATCACACAAGAATTATTATTTTAAGACAACATCTATCACATACTTCCAAAAATTGCAATTTGATCATGAAACTTTATGTATCCATGATGAAAACCCAATACACAGAGCAATAATGTTAGATGATGTAAAATCATTTATTGGATACATCGAAGCAAATGGTTTGGATTTATATCAAATGCCTGTTAATGAATCTTGTCCCAGTATCAATATAGCCAGCTGTTCATTACTCGACTTATGTTGTTTCTATGGTGCAGTGGGTTGTTACAAGTTTTTAAGAACAAAATACAACTTCATGATAGGTGAAACAAGTCTTCATTGTGCGTTTTTGGGCGGTAAGCCAGATATCATGAATGAATGTTTAAAGGTTATTAAGCCAGATCAGGCTTGCATGGAATATGCAATCATGTCTCACAACATCGATTTTGTTTCCTTTTTGATGAATGAATACAGACTTAAAATTGATTTGAATTGGTGTTGCAAATACAAAAATCTTCAAGCATTCTTAGTTTATTTGGATTACACTCAAGACATCACTAATTGTTTCCTTTACTCTCCATGCTTTAACATTCCTGCACTATGTGAGTATTTCATGTCTCATGGATTTGATATCAGAACAAAGAATGAGAATGGAAGTACTGTCATGCATTTTGCTTCATATTTCAATTGTAAAGATATTCTTGGGTTCCTCATATCTCATGGTGGGAAGGTAAACGAAAAGTCTAATTATAAAAAGACACTTCTCCATCTTGCAGCTAAAAACAATTGCATGGAAGTTATAAAACTTCTTATCTCCCATGGTGCGCGTGTCAATGCGAAAGATCTAAATCGATACACTCCGCTTCACTATGCTATAGAAAACAATAATAAGGATGCAGTTGAATATTTAGTAAATCATGGAGCAAGCCTCGATGGTAAAACCGTTTCCAAGACTGCCCTTCATATAGCAGTTCTTAATGGTTCCATTGATATGGTTGAGTTTCTGCTTTCACTTGGGGCTGACATAAACATTAAGGACAAAAAGGGTCGAACAGTCTTATGGATTGCAGCCCAAAAAAATAGCCAACGCTTGATTGACTTTCTCATTTCAAGAGGTTCGAATCTTGATGTTATTGTTAACGGAGAAAGTCTTCTTGTCTATGCAATCAACCATTTTCAGGATGAGTTATCGAACAAACTTATCGATCATCATGCAGATCTCTCTATAAGAGATCATTATGGCCGAACAGCTTTAGATTATGCTGTTTCCTTTGAAAATAAAGTTATTATCGAAAAACTTTTATCAAATGGCGCACCTGTAAATTTGCAAGATAAGAGTGGTATGACTCCTCTCCATCATGCTATTGATGGAAGAAATTATGAATTAATTGAAATTCTCCTATCACATGGAGCAGATATAACTATAAAAAATAAGGATAAACTAAATCCTGTAAGTTACGCAGCAAAATATGGACCGTATAAAATGAATGAATTCATTATTTCGCATAGCCATCATTATGATAAAAAAGAAAATAAAAATGACCCTTCTGAATTGCCAATGGATGAATTATAGTACACCGTCCGTCAAATAACTAGCTTTTCATTAATAAACTTATTAATAAATCATTATTTATCTGTTATTTTTATGTAAAAATGAATGAATTTTGTTCATGGATTTCAAAAGAAAACAATAAAGTTAGAATCGTTAAATTAAATCAGGTATATCTTTTTGTTGAAGCTTCTACGATTTATTTAATTAAAAATGAAAAACACTTCGAAATTCGAATGAATTATGTTTGAAATATTGGAATATTGATAATAATAGAATGCAGTTCAATTTATATAAGTTAACTGAATGCTTTTATTATAAAAATTGTTGTTATTATCAGGTTGTTGAAGGAATTGAAAAAGTGACGAATAAAAGTAACTTAGTGAATATGAGTTCTAAAAAGACTAACAAAAATATTTCAGCAGCCTTTGACTTTCTTCCGATTGTTAGAGAAATCCTTCAGAAAATAGCCTCACCTGAAACATCAGAAAAAGATATTTCAACGATCGCAAACCAATTTTCAGAAAAAATGAAAGAAGCTCAAAAAATCCTTCACAATACACCAGGACTTGAATTAACAGAAGAAGAGCAGATCCAAAAGATCGCTGAACTTGAAGAAATGATCAAGCAGAAGCAACATCTTATTGACGAGTGTACAAAACAGATCCAAGAATGGAATAATGAAGGAAATCAATCTAATGAATGATTAGTCTGTTTGTACTTATTTCATTTGTCTAATGAAAAATTTCTTCGTTAATTCAACGCATAGATATTTGTTCTTTCTTAACTCTTCATTACGAATAAAGCCTTGTATTATATAAATGGGTTTTGGATTCTATTACTTCTTAATTAATTTCAAATATTTAAAATATAGAATTTATAAAGTCATGATTTGTGATTTGAGTGCTTTTTAAACACAATTCTGTAATAATTAAATAAGTAAACGTTTATTAAAAAAGTTTATTGCTGGCGAGCACCTGCGCGGCGTGTGAAAACCTCGACACCTTCCATTTCGCCAAGTCCGATAGCGGCAAGCATTTCCTTTGTCTCTGGATCAACGAGGATCTTTGGAACGTTGAGCTTGGAGGTTGTTGGCATCCAGTTATCGCGCTTCTCACGTTCCTGTTCCTGGAGCTTGAAGGAGATACCACGAACTGGTCCACGCTCAAGACGGCGCATAAGGTGGGTAACGTAGCCGGCGATTTTATTGCGCATGCGCTTTGATGGAATATCAGCAACAGCGTCGCAAACGCGCTTGTTGTCCTGGAAATCGAAAGAAAGTTGGCCATAGAAACGTTCGATAACGAGGCGTGCGGCTCTCTTTGTGGTCTTTGTACGGATACGACCCATGTTAAAAAGAAACCAAAACCGTTTTTATCGTCGCGCAGCTATTCGAAGAAAAACATTGCAAAGCCAAGGTCCCGTTTTAAAATAAAAATTAGTTCTACAATACGTACCTATCATTTTTCACTAATAATATTATATGTAAAACTCAAAATTTGAAATTTGAATCTTTTGAATCTTGAATTTATTCTGATGGTGAGTTGAGATACAATAGACCTCATGCTTTGCATCTGATATTTTGACAACCTGATGAGGATCTTGATAGCAATTCAATCAATTGATTCTTGAAATGTGTATTTTTCTAATTTTCTTTATTTTATTTGGATATTATTCTCTTTTCCTTATCTATTTTTTAAAAAACAATTGGTTGAATTTTTCATCACCACTTTTCAAAAAACATGACGAAGGTAAAAAAGCCAACCAAGCCAAACTCGGAGGAAGATGAGCCATATCATCATCCACATCTAGAAGAACAGATAATTGTTAGATTTCCAGCTGATATTGCTCAGGATCTTATAGCAAAAATGGAACCTGAAGCAAATTTCACGGATTTCGAAATTGTCTTCAATGATAAGAACCACGCAACTGTCAAAATAGGACAGGAAGTTTTAAGTGGAATTCTCGTGAATTTACCAACAATTGTAGAATCTCATAGAACTGTTGATGGTTCTCATTTATTCAAATCAGCTGATATTGGTGAAATATTAATTATATATCGTTCTACAAGTGCACCAACTAATATTACTGCAGATAATACTTTTGAAAATGGTATTACTCCACCAACTATTGATATTTTAGAAAGACGTAATGCACAGCGTCAATCTGTTAGAAGCTCTGATTCAACAAATCCTATAGAAGGTATAGAATATTGGGAAATGGTCGAAATTCAATTAGCAGCTTTACTGGCCAAAGATAAGACAGCTAAGCCTATTACTCGTCATGAATTCTTCATGGAGCCAGATATTGATGCAGGAGTTCTTGAAAGAGCCCTTAGATTACACGTATCTCCAGAATACAAAGGATATTCGGGACAAAACATTGCTGATGATGATTTAGATAAGAAGGGAATGGACGAAGACCCAATTGTTCACTTCCCTGATGAAATTTTAGAAAAATTTGGAGAAAACAAAGAAGAAAACTCAGAAGAATCAGCAGACAATCTTTCTTCAGCTGCTCCTGACTCCGAATCTACAGAATCTGAATCTTCATCCAGTGAAGAAAGTGAATCCGAATCTTCTTACGAATCTGAAAATGAAAAGGCATCTCCGAAGGAGACAACCCCAGCTCCACAACCAGAGCCTCAGAAATCTTCACAGAATGAAAGCGAAGCTCCAGAATCTTCTTCATCATCTGAATCTTCAAGTTCAGAAGAGGATGATGAGGATGAGAAGAAGGGCGATAGCAGTGAGAACATCACTGAGTTAATTAACGCCCTTAGAAAAGAAAATGCTACAAGACAAGAATCACTTAAAACTGCTACAAATGTAAACTATCAGAAAAAGCTTCGTGATATCATTGAGAAGAATAATGCCAAAATTGCCGAACTTGAAGCGAAATTGGCTGCAAAACATTAATTTATTTCATTATTATTCTTTATTTTTTAGATTGGTTGATAAATATGTAAAATATTGTTCGTTGAACTTCTTAATTTGCATTGTTTCTATTCTGTTTCAATCAATTTTAATATACCCAAAGATAATCTTTAAAATGAAATCAAATGAACATAAAAATCAATATATCATCTATGTGTTGAATTCGTGGATACGAAAATAAGTTCTCAATTGCAAAAATTATCAAATTTCATTTCCAAAATTAAGTTTGAACATTAAAAAATCACAAAACAATATTTTTATTGATATTGTTAGTCGTGATAATAAGTAAATGGATTCATTATTTCATTTATTATGGTAAAAGCATTTCTAAGTCCTGTCTATAGTCCGTTTAGACTTTTGCTTGGAGCCATATTTGTGATAATTTCATTTGTAACAACATATTTCTCATTCCCATCAGACGTTCCTCCTCAAACGGGAGTTCAATATACAAAAATTCCAAAAGGAGTATGGATATTATATTCAGGTACGTTCGGCAATCCGGAAAATGACAGCAGATGGATACATTGGAGATACCCTAAAGGCGAATATTCCAATGATTGGTATGAACCTCCTTTAAATGTCCCTTCTCTCACGTATCCTCAATTAGGTTTATATTCCTCTCATGATGAATCAGTAATTAGAACTCATTGTCAGCAAATATCTGAAGCAGGAATCGAAGCAATTATTTTATGTTGGTGGGGAAAGAATTCTACAGACAGATTTTTAGATGATACTGATGGTTACAGTGATAAAACCATGGAATTACTATTGAAAATTGCTCCTGAATTTAAATTAAAAGTTGGAATTCAAATTCAACCGCATCAGAAGCGAAATGCAACTGTTGTTGTCGAAGAAATACAATATATATTAGATAAATATGCTACAAATCCTAATTATTTAACAGTTAACAAGCGTCCTGTCATTATTATTTACGAATTCTTTTCAATTAAAGATGCAAAGCTTACCTGCAATCAGTTTAAGAATAATCCTTACATAATCGGCTCAGTTACACAAAAATCAGACATTGCTTCCAATCTTGAGAACTGTATGGAAGCAATGTTTACTTATTTCGCAGCCATTGATACTACATGGTCATCAAAGACCAAGGAATGGGAAGGGGTATCTAAAGATGTCCGTTCTCGTGGTTTGGCCTTCATTCCTGGAATTGGACCAGGACACGACCGAGGAAAGGTCGACCACTGGAACAAAGCTGAAAGAAGTAGAGAATCTGGCAAGTATTATAGAGATAGATGGGAAGATGCAATAAGAGTGAAAGCAGACACGATTATCATTAATTCTTTCAATAATTGGGTTGATAATTCCCATATTGAACCTGCTGTTAATCGTTCGGGATTTGAATTTAGTCATAGATCCTGGGCTGAAGCAAATAATCCAGATTTATATCTGGAAATCACAAGAAACTATTCTGTTAAGTATTTGTATTCATAAATGTTGTCTTTTGTTTGGGTTAAATAATATATTTTTCATATAATACTTATAAATGAATATAATTTCGATATAATTCTATGTTTCAACCGAGCTGTAGTATTGATTGTCTTCCTTTATTCTTCAAATGTGTATAATTTTTATATGGAAAGCTTAACTGCCATGAATTAAGAATAAAATCTCAGCATCATCCATATTATAGGTTTCATGCTGAAGTAGGATTTTTATACCATTTATTGGGATGTCACATTGTATGTATTAACATCTGGAATTATAAGTAATACCCAGATTTTCCTTACTTTTACCACCTCTCTAAAGCTGGGGACACCGCCTATCGTTGGGAGTAGCTATTAAATAGAACCACCAAGGGTATTTTTCGAACTGCCGGTGTAGTGGAAACATCCAACATAATGATTCATTATGCCAAGGTTTGATTCCCATTTAGCCAATTTTTTTCTTTTTTGGATCATGAATTTTTTTTGGGTCACTATAAGATTTGTTTCATGTTCTAAATCTGCTGCATATGTAATCTATTTTTATTTACCTATTTTTTAAAAATCTATTGGATTGCCAAATTTGAATATATTTAAAATCATAAAAATCCAACAAAACTATAAATATATGTTTTATGCATAGTGCCGATACTCAAATATCAGATTACTTAGATCCATGAATAATATCCGAATTTTTTTTCTTAAAATTAAACTTCAAAACTTCTTGCAATCTTATTCTTAATCAATTGTAAATTTTTAAAACCATTTTTTAAAATAATTTTGCGTAAATTTTATTCTCATGTTGTTTTAATCGAAAATTGATACATTTTCAAAAAAATAATATTGACTTATGAAATTCATTTTTAAGGTGAAATAGTATTGTTTTTATTAAAGTATATGAATAATATATAAAAAATTAATGAATAATATAAGCAGATTTTTAGTTTACAAAACAAATATGAGCAATGCAATTTCAAACTTTTGCTGGCAATTTCGATATTGCTCAAGTTTGTAGTATTTGTGATACCTATAACATCGGCTTAATCAAAATTCGATTTTTCTTATGAGTTATTGAGAAAATTTGATTGCAATGAGAAGGATTTCGACGTTTTTGATAAACTAAGAGCTGAGCTTTAGGGGTTCAGTTCATTTATGGCTGTAGTTTGATGCGTAGATCTCTTTTTTATTGTAAATTCTTTCAGCATGGAGATCGAGAATGAATCTTTTGAGAACTTTATGAGTTTTTACACCCGTAAAGAGGTCCTTCGAGGAAAGATAGTCCAGACTACATGAAGATGTGGGTTAACCAAAAAAATCCGATGGTTTCCCCATATTCATGTAGATCTTCGAAAAAATGAGCACCAAAAAAGCCAAAAAAATAGGCTTTTTATTGGATTTGTACACTAGATCAATAATCTATTTAGGATCTGACACTCTTTTTAGCCAGAGATATGAGGTCCTTTCTAGGAAAACGATCTATTCATCCATAAAAAAAATGAATTATCGTTTTCCCCAGAAATTACATGGGGAGTGGTAAAAGTAAGGAAAATCTGGGTAAAATAATTTATTTCGAAATGTGCATCATTTCATATTTGTTAAAGAGACATATTCTAGAACCAGTTTATTGGATGTTGTCAGCACTCTGTTCAATTTTAACATGTATGGTTGGAAAATTGATGAAAGATTTCAGAAAAATGATTGGATCCGAATTTCAACTTCATCGTGATTTTCTGCTTGAAATTTTCGATTACTATGAGGTCGACAAAGGTCTTATTGTATTAAAGAGTGCCCCTTTACGCTATGAACCATTTACAGGTACCGATTTACAATTTTACCAAGAAGCAATGTTTTACTGGATGACAGGATGGGAGAAACCAGATTCTGCAATCTTAATAGATATCCAATCAGGTGAATCAACGCTTTACATTCCAAAATACGACGAAAATTATGAAATCTGGACAGGTCCAATTCCAACAACAGAATATATCATGTATATTACAGGTGTAGACTATGTCAAATGCATTGACGATCTAGAATATGATATTGAAGGACAAGAAATTTATGGAGCACTTGATCAGTTCCCAGAGCAAGATCAGAAAGCATTACTTGCTGCTGCAGGTATGGCAAGAAGAGTTAAGACCCCTTACGAAATTGAACAAATAACAAAAGCCTCAAAATTAACTTCAGAAGCAATTATTCATGTTATGAAGAATATAAAGCCAGGATGGACAGAACAACAAGTTGATGCCGAATTTACATACTACGGTTTCAAAAATGGAGCCAAAGAAAAATCTTTTTTGACAATTGCAGCTTCTGGACAAGATGCTGTTTATTTACATAACGAAGCTAACGAAGGAATCTGTAAGGATGGTGATTTGTTATTACTTGATTGCGGATTCTTCGTTAATCATTACGCAGGAGATATTACAAGAACTTTCCCTGTTAATGGCAAATTTACACCCATTCAACGTAATGTATACTCGATATTACTTGAGAAGCAAATAGAACTATGTAACTTCGTTAAGCCTGGTTTGTCATTTCGGAATTTAAATTCCAAAATGAGTGATTTAATTTACGAATGTCTTGAAGCGATCGGAGTGATCAATATGGAAAAAGAAGTCAATAACAAACATCGTGAAGACATTGCTGATATATTTACTCCTCATTCAGTGACTCATCACCTTGGATGTAACGTTCATGATGTTCATTACGGTTATTCTGACATAATCTTTGAGATTTATGAGAAAGCGATCAAGCTTGAACCAGGATTTGTCATTACAATCGAACCTGGAATTTATTTCCATAAAGCAAGGATCCAGAAGATCATTGAAGAGAAGAATTTGCCTTTCTATGACTGCGTTAACTGGGAATACGCTCTAACTCTCGCAGATCAAGTTGGCGGAATCAGAATTGAAGATGATCTCTTAGTAACAGAAACAGGTGCAGATAGATTAAGTCCTTGCCCCAAATCATGTGATGAAATAGAAGAAATTATGGCTTCAGGTGTATAATCTGTTTTAATTATTAAATATTCTTATTTTTTTGTGCGAAACTTAACTCATTTCATTTTATATTTCTCTTTATATCCTTATGTGAATTTTAATTTTACTGTTTATATATAACAATCTTCAAATAACAGAACAGAATTTTGATATGATAACTATCAAGTTAATTTAATATCGATTTCATTAAATAGTCATGATGTACTCATTAAGTACTAGTATTTTCAAGAACTCTCAAGTCATTATCATCTAGCCTACCATAAAAATTCGACATTTTTATTAATTACGCCATTTTAATATTTCGTTTATTAGCATTGTAAGGCAGTATTTGTGTGATGCAAATAAATCAGATGACCAAACACAAAAGAATCTTGTAATTTTGAGCCGAGTTTCAATGTTTCTATGGATATTTGAGAGGAACATTTTCAAGGATAAGAGATCAATTATTAATTTTAAGAATTTGAGGATTGAAAATATGTATAATTTTACCCTTTGCTTCGAATTTTTACCCTTCTCGGGTCTGAATTTTCAAAAATGTCAGCCTCAGCAGCGATGAAATTGTTTGAAAAGGCAATCAGCCTCGATGAGGCACAACAAATGGAATTCGCTTCCAAAATTGATATCATCATTGATACATTTCCACCTAAATTTATTTCAACCGAATTTTATCCTTTTCTTACAACATGGATTCCTAAAAATAATCTCAAAATCGTACGTATTCTCGCCGACAAAGTAAATAAAATGATCAGCGTCAATGAATCACTTGTTGCTTTTGCACCAGTCTTAGAAACGATTCTTGCTTCAGAAAACCAAGAAATTAGCAAGCGTATCAAGACCAATCTCAAATCTGTTACTCTTGGTGGTGATGCTCTTGGATTTTTCAAGAAACTCGTTTCATCGCCAATAGATTACGTCAGAGCTTTCTGCGCTCAGATATTATTCTTGCTTCAACCAATCGAAGAAAAGGTTGTTATATGCCAGAGTCTTATCTGTGATCCTGCTTTCAAAGTTCGCTTTGCCTTGGCATCGATCATCGCTACACTTCCAGTAGACCTCGCAAACAATGTTGCCAAGGCCTTCTGTAGCGATTCTTCATCAAGAATCAAGGCTTTTCTCCCCGTTGTTTGCGCTCCTTTACCATTCTTCTTCACATCAGTTGTCCCAGCTCTTATATCAGACCATGATTGGTATATCCGTGCTTCCATCGCTAAGGAGGTCAGCCGCGCTAAAGATATCGCTACAGCTATTAATGTAGCTTATCCTTTGACAGAAGATTCTGTTTGGCAAGTTGTTTTATCTGCTTTAACAAGCTTTACACAAATTATCAAAGAGAATCCTAACGTTCCATTTGAAAATGGACAAAGAATGCTCGATAACTTATTCAGAACTTTACTTTACCCACAAGCATCAACAAAGAATGCATCAATCGATGCCTTCTTTGCACTAAATGCTCGGTATCAATTCGATTCGGCCAATATAATGAATTTTGTCGAAGAAGTCATTACACGTCAGCCACCAACAACTCGTTTACACTTCTTACAGCAACTGTGCGCTTTACGTCTCGAATCTATCATCGCTCTTATCACAGACAAGATACATGCCGTTGTAGTTTCTCTCATGTCCAGTGAACAGTGGAGAATAAGGCTCGGCGTGGTCTGCGCACTCTCATCCCTCGCTACCCTCAACAGAGATCCAAACGTACGTACAAAATTCTCCGAACTTTGCTTACAGTCATTAGATGATGAATCCACGCCCGTAAGAACCGCCGCGGCCGAGGAACTTCTTCAGTGCTACCGTGCGTCGAACCCGTCACAGCTCTTCCCTGAGTGCTATTTCACACTTAAAAGCAGTGATTCATTCAGAAAACGCCAGGCTGCACTTATCATCTTATCAAATATCGGAAAAGCTTGCCAGCCAGCTGAAGTGGCTCAGGTTAAGGCTGAAATGCAGTCTTTCCTTAACGACAAATGCGATAATGTTGTTAACATGGCTAATAAGTTCATATCTGAACTTCCATGAGAAAAATATTATTTTTTTATATTCAGTAAATACTATATACATAGCATCTCCTTTATTTTATCTCTAACAAGCTTTATTTTGTAAATTCATTATAGTCTATAATGTGATTCAAAAAATTCATTTTCATAAATGTAAAATCTCTCTATTTAAATGATGTTTTCTGATTACATTTATGCGTGTTTGCATATATTCCAATAATTGTCCTTTGAAACCTATTAAAATAGTCTAAATTTTAAAAAATATTATATATAACATATGTTTAATCGAACAAAACTTAAAGAATGCGATTTACTCTAATGTTTTTTATCATATTTCATGCTAGATATGGAATATGCTGATAAATATCACTATGAAATAAGATATTAAAGTAAAAGCAGCGAAAAGATTGATGTACAAAAGTTCTGTAAGAGTAAATTAAAGTAAAAAGACAGACAAAAGATCAATTTGAGTAATATAAATATTGAAATTTTTAAAAAAAGAATAAAATTAATTTCTGTAAGTTCTGTAAGATTATATTGAAATTTTAAAAAAAGTTTAAAGATCATAATTGATCTCAACAAGTGGGAGAAGTGGCATAACTGGAACGCCACAGTCATTCTCGGAGGAAATGTAGGCAAAGCCTTCCTCTCCCCAGAATGTTGACCAAGAGTTCATAATTTCGTAGTGAATGACGCCGTCGATTGTCTTCCATCCTGTAAGAAGAACGCCATGATCTGTCTTATCGTGATCATCAATTCCACCGCAGACCTCGTGGTTGTTGAATGATCCGCCTGTGTAAGCAACGAATGGAGCTGTTCCTGCTCTGATGTAAATCATGAGTGGTCCGTACTTGTAGAGAGCTCTGAGAACGTTGATATCCTTGTTAGATGAATCGCGCATGATCTGGTAGCATCCTGTGACTTTGCCGATTGTCTTTCCGAAATTCTTCTGGCAATGGCCGGAAACTCCGAGATATGGGTACTCTTCTTCTGTTGTAAGGTTAAGCTGAAGCTCGGCTAATTTGCCGTAAGCATCGTAGCCTTCGCCACCAGCGCATGCGTATGAGCCGTCAGATCCTGTGTGGCCTTCGTTCCAAACGCAGTCCATGATCTGCTGGATGGAAACTGTGAAGTTGCCCTTGGAGTGGAGTGAGATCTGAGAGGAAATGGCTTCACCGGCTGATTGGGCCCAGCAAGAACCGCAGTTTGCCTGATCACGGACGACCTGGACAACACCCTTGTAGTTACGCCATGAGAACTCCTTGATTCCGTCAATCTTGATGTCGGAAGATGGTGTAAGTGGCTTGCATTGGTAATCTTTCTGAATTGGTCTCTTTCTCTGCATAGAAATATCGCCAGCAAACTTGTTAAGACGTGGACCACTGTCAGAGCGGTTAAGGCACTTCATAACTGGGACCATGAAGTTTGTTTCATTGGGGAATGGGCTGTACTCAACAATATCGAGAATGTATTCTGCTGGATGTGAGTGGCGGATGGACTGACCGAATTGGTGATAACGGACTGGCATGTTTGTTGTAGCATCGACGTAGAAAATATATTTGTAATTATTTTCTGTTTTCTTGATATAGCCATGGACTTTTTTGCCGAGGACGCTGTGCTCGCCATAATCCTCCCATGTGGCCTCATCTGTAAGATCTGGAAGATATTCAACAAAAGAATCTTCTTCATGATCACTCATACTGAATGAGCAGTGTAATCCATCTGGGCTTGTTTGAATACTGTATGCTCTATCTTTCAAGAAGTGAATTTCATGTTGTAAGTGGTCATAGGAAATGTCGGATTGAGCATATCCATCTTTCGTATCAACTACAAATGGCATGCGCATCTGCCAATATGGAATACTCCATGTGCCGGAAAGATGATATGATTTTGAAAATTTCGGCCTATCACAAGAGCCGAAACGGAATAGAGCAAGGCTAAGCATTGTGGAGAGCGGTTATCCAAACCGCTCCTCTGGAAATATAAAACATAGTTTTTATTTATGAATCGGATTTACAACCTAAAACCAAATCTATTTTTAGGGTTTCTGAACTTTTTTACTTCTGATTTCAAAATTTCTACAAGATCATATTCTTGGATAGGACATAATCAGTAATCCATATTGATGCCTTGGTGTTAGGTTCCAAACCTGTGCAATAGTATTGCTTATTAAGCTTGAATTTAAAAAATATTCGCTCAATATTAAATGAATTATCTTTGGTTTAGAATAGAATTGATAGATGATAGAATACCCACTATTATTTTCGGAGACATGTTGTTATTTATTTGAAATATTAAATAATTAAAAAAAATCGTATGGATATAATATGTCAATGGAAAAATTCAAATAGTATATTAAAAATAAACTCATATTTCCGTGTTAAATTCTGTCTAAATCTATCAGAAACACGTAAATGATGGATTTTTAAATTTGAATTTCCAAAAAAATTAGAGAAAAGGAATTTTCATACATCAAATCATAGACATTTGCATAGTGATTTCATTAATCTTGAAATTTTTGGAAAACTAGATCAGGTATAGACCTAATCTTTGAACGAATTGAAGCAGTATTCAGTCTAAAAACAATCAAAAATGAAAATTATTGAATTCGATTTTCCTCAATCATACAATTAGGATTGCAAATAGGCTCTATTTTTATATAATGTCAGCTTATGGGACACAAATGCCTATTCCAATGAGTAATCGCTAACCAAATAAAAATCTCAACATATTATTTTTATCATTTCTTGTAATGGTTATTCATTTCAGATCTGTTAACACTCAGCATTGTTAGTACATCATCATTTATAAAGTTTCAAGATTTTTAGGGAGACACTTTTGTCAGAATAATAAATTCATGGTTGTTGTTGAATACAATTGCTCAAACTGCGGCAAGACTGTCAGAGCTGAAGACCGCGGTGCAATGCGTTGCCCACAGTGCGGCTGCAACATTCTCTACAAGAAGAGAACAACAAAGCGTATCACATTCAGTGCTAGATAAATTTACAACTGTTAATCGAAAAATCCACAGTAAAATAGAATGTTTATATTGAAATTAACTAAAAAATCTCTCTGCTCAATTGCAAAAGATGTTTATTAAACAGTTAAATATATGAAGAAAATAATACAGTTATTAGATATAGATTGTATTGGCAACTTTCTATACACATTGGATTTTGCCATGAATTTATATCAATAATTGATTTTTTTTAATAATTTTTTTTATATGATATTTTTTAAGAGAAAACTGTTTGATTTCGTATTACTATCGATATATGTGACCCCAATTTTGGCATGTTTTCTTATTTAGAAGTCATTTTCTCTATTTGATTTCTGATGGAAGCGATTCAAGTGGAATTTCCACTTCCATATCATGAGATTGCTTCAATGTCAGAGTTTGGTGGAAATATGTGGGTTGGAACTGAGCATGGAGAAATTCATGTTCTCACTCAAAATACGGAATCATTAAGCCATCCATTCATTTTATCAAGTAAAACTCCGTTTTCAGAAGAACATTCAATTATTCAGACGATGTTTGCAATAGAACAAATAGGAAAACTCTTCGCTTTCGTTAAACAAGAGAATGTCGGAAAAATAATTATGATTGATTCATCATATAAAGTCGAAACATTTTCAGAAGGTGTCACATATGCAGCTAGATCACCACATGATGCTTTACCAGCATTTGTTTTAGCAAAAAATAATTTATTTTATTATTACTTAGTAAAAGACAATACTTTACAACCACCAGTTGAAGTAGATGCACTATCTACAATCAATGGAATATCAGTAAATAATTCTGGTGTTGCATTTTACGCAAATTCTCAATATTTCCTTTGGTGGCGAGTTTCGAAGCGTGTAATGAATGTAGCAGCTTGTGTTCTTCCAAATTCATGCATTGTACCCGATAAAAACTCATTTGTTTTTTGCATGAAAGATATGTTACAATTAATGGAGAAGATGGCCAAAAGATGGCAACACCAATAGCAATTAACAAGACACTTACAGAAAATCAAGATGTACCTCTTACAGGATGCTTTTTCGGAGGAAAATGTCATTTATTTTATACATTGAATATGATTTCAGCCAAAATCTCATACCAACATCACGATAACTTTGTACCTCGAAAAATAGCTAAAGTTACAGCTTTTGCCACTTTTGGAGAAATATTATATTTAATTTCCGAAATGGGAGCATATATGACAGGTGGTGTGACAGATGGTATGAAACTAGCAACAATTACATCCAAAGTTGGCATAAAAATCGCAATAACAAATGCCAGAAAATTAGATCCGAAAAGATTGGAAAATGCAATGGTCGATTTCTTCAGAACGCTATGGGAAATGAAGTTATATAAGGAATCATTAATCCTCGTATCCGAATTTCTTTGGAATGAAGATATCAAAGAAATTTTATCATTATTTCCATTTTTTGTCATCGAATCGAAGCCATCACCCCGTAATAAACTCAATGGACTTACAGAGTATACTCTTGATGACATCGAAGTCTTCGAAAAGCTTGGTCAATTTTTGGTATTTACAAGATCTCAATTTTCCGAATCCCATGATTCATATTTAACCCATCAGATGCCTGCAGTAGAGACTGCCTTATTCGAATACTACGCGATCTTCCATCAAACACGCGAACTTGATGCGTTAATGGCCGAAGAAAACTCAGTGATTTCGCAAGCCGTAACTTTGTTTTTCAACCAATTTTTGGCAAAAAGGTCACTTCACCCGGCTCTGGCCATTTATTTTGCCCACACAGAGAGAATTGATGAAGCCCTGAAAATCTGGAAAACGTTGAATGACGCTGACAAAGAAAACGTTCGATGGGCGGTTGAAGCAGGATATACATTGCAATTAGTAGATGACGAAGATGACTTGAAATCGAATTTGGATTGGATAAAGAAGAGATCAAGAACAGCAGCAATTATAGCATTCCTCAGACCAAACGTTGATATTTCATTGGCCATGGATTGGATAAAACAAAATGCTCAGGAATTTTCTGTCAGATTTTACGATTATTTGTTAAACAACAATTTGTTGAAACCGGAATTAGTAAAGAACGCGTTAGATAGTTACACAGATCTCCTTTCGATTGTAGGAGCTCCTGAGTTTAAAGCAGATCACGCTGCTTTTTACGAAAAATACTATCAAACATGGCTGAAAAGATCACCAAGACAGAACGAGCTCGATGAACTTGATAAATACCTCATTGACCAACTAATTAAATGCGCAATGCTGAATCCAAAGAACTTATCTAAATACTGTTCAATTGCAAAGAGACTTGTAAAAATGGATTTGATGTTTACTTTGTTCCAAATTGGAGAAATGTATTCTGAAGCTGCAAAAGAGTTCATATTGACATGGAAAGCAGATTTCGCTAAGATACAAAAGTTCTGCAGACAATGCAAGAGCCCTGAAAAGGCATTCAAGGTAACTATCGAAGTTTTGGCCGAAGAAGGATATAATATTTTTGGCCAACATCGACAATTTATCTTGGATAACATTGAATTCATTTCCCATGAGGATATAATTAAATGGATACCTGATAATCAGAACATTGATGACTATATTGATTTCTTTATCTCAATGGAAGGAAAGAATTTACTTAAAAGAAACATAATGAAGATGCAGGAAGCAACAATTAGACAGTTGAACAACGAAATTGACTACAAACTTACAATACAAGAAGTAAGATGTGCTGAATTTGGTTACACAACGGTTTGTGGGTCATGTGGAAGACCTGTTGGAAGTGGATTTGTTTGCGTCGCTCCAGATAACACTGTTTATCATTTGGCTTGCAAACCAAAGAAATTAGTTAATGTTCAACAAGAAAATCATGTTTAATGTCTTTTCTTTTTGTTTAATTATAAATGTTATTTTTTGTTGTTATTATAGCTTTCTTATTCGATTATTATTATAGTATCTGCTCTTCTAAATCAATTTTGGGCATCTATAACAATATGCACATACATAGACCAATGAGCATAATGAGTATATTTTCATTGAATGAAAGCAATGCAGTATCCTTGTATCACGGATTTTAAAATCCAAAATTGTAACTATGAGATGTTAACAATTCTTTAATTCCTTTACATTCAGAATAGGCAACTTCATTTTGAATGTTAATAAACTAAAAAATCGCCGAATTTCTGTCAATTACGAGAAAAAGTATCATAACAAGGATTTTCTTTGAAACTTTTGCTATATATGGAGACAGTGAATTCTGCCAAAAACATATCATGCCTTATTTCAAGAGTCGTCTTGAGATTTCAAAATATCGAGTAGTGCTTCAATATCTACATGTAACGCATTTGGTAAGGCGAAAAATATGTATAATTGCACTTAATCATTGAATATTGCCTAAGGATATCAGTCAGTGAAAAATTTGTTTCAAAAAATTACGAATTTCGGGAATATTCTTTAAAAATCCAGTATGCTTTGTGTTTTTATATTATTTGCATGCTCATAAAGGCATAAAGTTGCAATTGTCAAAATGTCAGAATGATGTAATGCCATTCTTCCTAGTGAAATCAAAAAATCCTAATTATATAGGACTTTCTGGATATAAATTTCGAATTAAAAAGAATTAAGATTCAAATTTACATCAGCATTATCGTTATGTTATCAATTTTATTTCTGAATGGAAGCAACAAATAATAAACCAGATTACTATTTGAGAAGATATGCAATATCATCTTGCATGCAAGAGACAGAAGTTCGATATTTAAGAAACGGCGGAAAATCCTCCAATTGGAAAAAAGCAATTTTAGCAAAAATAAATCTTCAAGAAAACAATTGGAAGAATCTTGATATCAAAGAATCCATTAACCAAACAAAATATAATATTAAAGATATCGAAATGGATGAAGCTGATGATAAAAAAACGTATTTTATTAATCTCAAATTCGAAGACAAGGATACATTTTCATTTACAGCTAACAAAGAAATTTTGGATTGCTTTTATTGCGGAATTTCAATTATTCTTAATAAAGAAGTTTCAAATGACTTTTTCATTAAGTACTTCGACGAATTTACACATTTGATTGTAGACAGATCTAAATTCCAAAGGCGCGTTGACAAGGAGTTTGTTATCCCTACATTACCACCAGAACGAGTAGGGGTAATTTTAGCTAAAAGTGACACGCCTGTAAAAAGTGACACACCTGTGAAGGGTGTGATTACCGATCGGTAATTTCGACAGTTTAGAATTTAAAATTTTTTATGGAACTGTTGCGAGTTTCATAAAGAATTTAAGGAATATAAGCAAAGATTTGAATCAAAATCTTAGACCTAAGCCGCTCGATTCGCTCGCGGCTTCCGCGAATTACAGATCAGCAAAGATTTGAATCAAAATCTTCGAACTAAGCCGATCGCTTCGCTCGCGGCTTTCTTTATTATTTTAAATTTGCATATTTCCATCAAAAGTTCATAAGGTAAAAAATTTTGTTTATTTTTACTAAGAAAAAAAAAGGTTTTTGATAATAAATTTATTTTATTTCGAAAAAGTAGCAATAATCGTAAAAGGGTATTGATAGGCTTGCTAAAGTAACTAATTTTAGCTGTCAAATACTTTTGTATTTTGAAGTAAATTAGTATAAATTTGTTTTTACTTTTATTTCGAAAAAGTAACAATAATCGTAAAAGGGTATTGATAGGCTTGCTAAAGTAACTAATTTTAGCTGTCAAATACTTTTGTATTTTGAAGTAAATTAGTATAAATTTGTTTTTACTTTTATTTCGAAAAAGTAGCAATAATCGTAAAAGGGTATTGATAGGCTTGCTAAAGTAACTAATTTTAGCTGTCAAATACTTTTGTATTTTGAAGTAAATTAGTATAAATTTGTTTTTACTTTTATTTCGAAAAAGTAGCAATAATCGTAAAAGGGTATTGATAGGCTTGCTAAAGTAACTAATTTTAGCTGTCAAATACTTTTGTATTTTGAAGTAAATTAGTATAAATTTGTTTTTACTTTTATTTCGAAAAAGTAGCAATAATCGTAAAAGGGTATTGATAGGCTTGCTAAAGTAACTAATTTTAGCTGTCAAATACTTTTGTATTTTGAAGTAAATTAGTATAAATTTGATATTATTTTAACTCCCTTTGAAAACCTCAATTTTCCATACAGAGGGAACGGGAATAGCATCCAATATTCCCTGAGAATGGTTGCGCATTCTCAGTTCCCTCTATATTTCGAACGAAGCTCTCATCGGTCTTTTTTTTAATACTAAACGTTTTTTTTCCCTGTCACTTTTAGCTAAAATTTGGGTTTGCCTATTTAATTCTTGCTTTCTATGAGCATTATTTCCGAATAAACCGATTAACATTCTAATTTTTGTTTACTACATTTTACATTTTGTCTTATATTATCCATTTTTTTTTAATTTGATTTTGAACAGGAAAAACTCAAGGGATACCATAAGTTTACTTGTACAATATAGATTATGGACACAGATACTATATAGAGAAGCTTAGTATGACTATACTATGGAATATCGATGTGAAAACCCAAACAATACAAAAATTAGATTAAATTTAAAGTACCCACTACTAGCATGTACATATAACAATATTTTGTAAAATAGTATTATTGAATTAATTTGTTTCTCCTTCTTTTCAATATAATATTTTACATGACTTACAGATAGTCTGTATGATGAAATTTAAATATACTACTTTTAGATTTTTTAATGTCTGATCAAATCAATCATCCAAAAAAGTACAGTGAATTAAGAAATATCTTCAAATACTACATCGATTCATACACTACATTGTACCAACTAAAAACGGAAAATACAGAAGAATTAAACTCTATTTACAAAATGATCAAAACAGAATTGATTGATTCAAATAAATATCTCCCTAAAATTATTATAAAAGACATTTTAAATATCATTCCGTATAATAATCGCTATACAAAGTCATATTTATCTCTTGCCAAGCTAATATATGATGATTATAATGTCTGTGAGGTCAATAATGTTGAAGATGTTTCAAATTTCCTTTTTTATAAAGAATATGGAATTAAATTAAACAAGATTTATGATTTCGGAAAAATTCAATCAGAAAATCTCGAAATTCTTACAGAAGATACAATTTACAGAGCAATTATGTATAATGACCTAAAAAAACTCATTTCATTCACGGATATAAAAGGATTTAAAGATATGGAAAAACTTCAAAGCAGCTTATATCCATATCCTGAATTTGGATATTCATATCTTGAATTATGTTGTTACTACGGGGCAGTAGATTGTTTCAAGTTTTTAATAACGAAATTTTACGCTCAAATTAGTTTAAGATGCTTATATCTTTCATTTTTAGGAAAAAATCCAGAGATAATGAGCGAATGTTTGAAACATTATAAACCAGATGATTATTGCATGATGTATGCAATAATTTCGCATAACATTGATTTTGTTACATTTTTGATGAATGAATACGATATTCAAATCGATTTAAGAGATTGTGGAATATATAAAAATCTTGATTCATTCTTAGTTTATTTGGATCAAACTAATGCTATTAAGACTTGCTTTGTTAATTCCGCTAGATTCAATATCCCATCCTTTTGCGAATATTTCCTTTCACTTGGTGTAAAGGTCAACGTAAAAATTGAAGGCGGACTAACAGCTCTTCATATTGCAGCATGGGAAAATTGTAAAGAAACAGTCGAATTTCTTTTTTTACATGGCGCAAAGATCAAAGAAAAAGAAGATGCTGGAAGAACCGCTCTACATCTTGCAGCACGCAAACAGAGTAAAGAAACAGTAGAATTCCTTATTTCACATGGCATAAATATCAATGAAAAAACTAATGTTGGGGATACCGCTCTTCACGTTGCAGCAGTAAACAATCGTAAAGAAATAGCTGAAATTCTTATTTCGAATGGAATAAAGATCAATGAGAAAAATGATTTCAATCGAACCGCTCTTCATTATACAGCATCTGAAAAAAGTAAAGAAACAGCTGAACTCCTTATTTCACATCATGCAAAGGTCAATGAAAAAGATCTAAATGGAAAAACCCCTCTTCATTATGCAGCTCAAGAAAATGATAAAGAAATAGTTGAGATTCTAATTTCACATGGTGCAAATATCAATGAAATAGATATTTATGGATATACTGCTCTTAGTATTGCTAAATATAGAGGTTTTAAAGAAATGGCCGAACTTCTTCTTTCACATGGTGCTGATATCAATGTCAAAAGAAAAAGTAGTTCCTCAAAATGCAACATTTTTTAATTTTAAAGAAATAGCCGAACACCTTTTTACACATGTTACAAGAATGCTCTCTTCCTACATAAGCTTCTTCTATTTCTTCTTTTAATATTTTCGAAGATAAATTTAATTTGAAATAAAAAATTATCTCCGTAAACAATAAAAGAGAAATGTTATCTTCATACAATTTTAAATAACATTAACAAGGAATTAATTTTGTATTCTTCCAAAACAAGTTTCAGTTTCTTTGATCCAATCAGTATTGTCTGCTCATTTGATAGAGAAACATGTTTCTGCTGCAAATTAATAAATACAAAACTATATTATATAGAATCATAGTTTGGTAGCTATCAAAGATTTCCCGAATTGTTTGTGCAAAATTTACTGATTTGTAAGCAATAAAAATGAGAAAGGGACAAACTATCCAGTGTCACTTTTCAAAGGAATAAAAAAAATAATAAAGATGAAATAATAACATGAAATCTTATATAAATATAATTTTATCTAAATAGATAAATGAATTAAGCAGTTTACAGTTATATATATTTAATGAGAGACAATATCTAGTTCTATGGTAGAAATGACTCTTAGACTCAAATAAGTAACACAGATAGAAAGTACTCAGTATAACAATTATATATGTACACTCAAAGTTAGTCGCTGCTAAAATCTTAACCTTGCATTTCGGGAAAATCTGACTAATGGCTCTTAGACTCAAATAAGTAACACAGATAGAAAGTACTCAGTATAACAATTATATATGTACACTCAAAGTTAGTCGCTGCTAAAATCTTAACCTTGCATTTCGGGAAAATCTGACAAATGGCTCTTAGACTCAAATAAGTAACACAGATAGAAAGTACTCAGTATAACAATTATATATGTACACTCAAAGTTAGTCGCTGCTAAAATCTTAACCTTGCATTTCGGGAAAATCTGACTAATGGCTCTTAGACTCAAATAAGTAACACAGATAGAAAGTACTCAGTATAACAATTATATATGTACACTCAAAGTTAGTCGCTGCTAAAATCTTAACCTTGCATTTCGGGAAAATCTGACAAATGGCTCTTAGACTTGTTTTGATAATTAATTCTTCAATTATATTATAATTTATAACAAATTTCCTCAAACTATCTGTATGTCATTCAATTCCCGGCCACTACATTCAATGATGGACCATTTCCTTCAAATTTTGAAATACCTTATTCAATTTGTTGTATGGAGCCCGTGATATTCAACACTATGGAGCTCCTCCAGTTTGGTATCCAAGAAGAGATAAAAGCTAGCATGGGCTACTCTCAAAAATGCTTGAAGCAATATATTCAAGTTTGCAACAAGGATCAATAGATTCAAATCTTGTTTATTGTACTTTAAAGGTACTTTTAAAAAAGAAACAATTAATGTAAAAGATTCAAATAATTTTTTATTATTATTTTATTAATTTTTTAAAATAAGGTTAATAAAAAAGTGACACTGGATAGTTTGTCCCACACTCAATAAAAATTAAAATCATAGTGCCAACTACTAGCATATACATTTAATAAGACTTTTATAGCTCTATGTGGAGGCAAACTCAATTTTAAGCGAAACCTCAATTTAAGATGATTTATTTCTTATGATCAAGAACTATCTCAATATGAAAAAAGTGTTATTGGAAATTTCCTCTATCAATATGTATCCATATAGACTGGTGTATATAATAAGTATAGTTACACTTAATGAAAAAAAATCTGTATAGGACGCAAAGAATATGATTTCTCATAGAGACTTAAGTAAGTGTGACATCACCATTTCTAGCCTGAGAAACTGCCTCATAATTAAGGAATAGCTAGGATCAATCATTGGCAGCTTAAAATGAAACATTGCAGAAAACTTTTTTTCTTGAATTTCAGAATTTTAGCTAAATCAGAACGTTAATAAGATATTTTTAGAGATGTTTTTGAAGCGCTTTTAATTGCATAATAAATTTCTATTTTGGAAATCTTTTTGTCCGATAAAAATTGACATATCGCGGGAAAAAAAGTGATGATCGAACCTCAAAATTCTGTTGTTCCTCGTCAGAAACCCCCAGCGCAACCAAAATCTCACTCTAAGCTTTGTTTTACGTGTTTCAATTCACCCTCTAAGACTTTACCTAAAGTTGTCGTTTTATATAGCGGACCAACGAACATTCCACCAGCCATCACTCAAACAAAGCAATCAAAAGGTGCAAAAAACAAAGCAGCACCAGTTCCACGTGGTCCTTTAACACCTCAACAAAAAATAATGAACGATATTCATAAAAAATTAGTCCAAAGGGACAAACTTCATATTTTTGCACAGCCAGTTACAGAGGACATAGCTCCACGATATTTCGAAGTCGTATCTCAACCAATGGATCTTTCAACAATAAAACAAAAAATGCACGAAGAAAGCTATCAAATAACAGATTTTCAAGACGATGTATTCCTTATGATCAAGAACTGCATGACGTATAACCCTGACTCTTCATTCTATTACCAAGAAGCAGCAAATTTATATCAATTTTTCCTTCGCGAAATTAAAAAGGCCAAAAGGCAGTTATCAGGAGAGGCACCCAGGGAGATCTCCTCGGCTGTTCGTAAGGTCACAGCTGGCGGAGAAATGTCACATACGTCAATTACCACTCAATCAACGATTCCTACGAAAATCCAGTCGTTTATCAAGAAGCGGCAAGGAAACTACGTCGCTCCTGTACTCGACAACACAGATAAAAAGAGAACATTTATACAGTTATCAAATCCTCATCCAAACGTTCTCAAGATTGGCGAGAGTGCTAGATTTTCAGTATTCGTTGATACAGTTAAGCAGAATAAGCAACTCAGGCTAAATCTCCAGAGTTTACTCAATAAATTCTCCAGAGATGTAATGAACGATGCAATAAGGAGTATGGCCAACCTTTCAGACACTTACGAGATCGATGCCGCTGCCATCGATGAAGCTCTCGCTTCAACCTTAGAATTAAATAATTTGAAGGAAATTGACATTGTAGACGCCCCAACAGATGAATATTCGCTTAGAGCACTTGCTAACCAGATACCCAACCTATCCATAACTAATTTCAAGCAATCCGCAGAGACAATTCAAGATCCTGCAATTTCATCACTGAAACTACTATTGTTCTACCAAAATACAATGAGATTTTGGCCTGATGCATCACTAGATAACGCAAAAAGAACAATTGTAAAGACTTTGACGTCGGATATTACAAACCATGTAATTACAATGAAACCATCCATATTTGTTAAAGATCAGTATGCTACAAATGCTCTCCTTCACCTCGTCAAGTCTGCAAAATAATAATTTAATTTTATATTATAGAAATAACTTTTGTTTTTGTTATTTTATTATCTTTTAAAAGCTTCTGTTTATAGGAACACTATTTATCATTGCTTTCAACTCTTATTTTAAATACAATAAGGGAAATTTTAATTTTAGACTTTTCTTTTTACTATTTGCTTAGCCTATCATGATTCAAACTTAGAGTGACCATATCTATTATAGTTTTTAACTCTTGATTGCTTCGCGTCGATAGAATTAAAACAGTATTTATTAAGTGTGTTACGAAGACTTTGCGGATTATTAATCTACAATAAATTGAATTCTTATTTTTATATTTTTTATGACTTATTTTTGATAGTTTTCGTTCAGAAATTTTAATCATATTTTAAGTAAATAAACTGCTTGCCCTAAGGTGGACAATATTGAAAGGAATTCAATGAGTTCTCTCAAAAATAACCACCTTTTCATATTCAATACTATTGTCCACCTTTCGTCCAACTTAAATAATTTATTTAGAAACAACAAAACAAAATAGATAAAAATAAATAATGCAGCAAGGTCCAGAAAGACCTAAAAAATCGAAATGACGGAGTGTATTTTTGATATAACTCATTAAATGGAAATTATGAGATATTATAATTAAATTTTTCACACTATCCGAGATATAAGAAAACTAGCATCCAGGTAGCTCGGATATATGGGTAGTATCTATTTTTGGAGAAAACTCCAAAAGTTAAAGTTATGATTTACTAATGAGAACAATTATAAGAGAAACAAGTAGCTGAAAAGGAGCATCATTTGATATGACTAACAATTACTTATTCGTAAGTTTCTGCAATGTCTGTTCGAGGAGAAATGCTACTTGATTTGGATGAACGTTTATAAGTTTTTAGAGTAAATAGTTGAAGAATTTGGAGTTCCTAGCATGAGTCTGTTAAGTGGACAGTAGAGAAATTTGGTAGCAATGCATAACGGTTGCAATATTTTCGGATAATTCAGAATAGGATCTGTTTGAGCATAAAGAGATGCAATATTATTGCATCTCTAATCATTAAAGCCATGCATCTTGTGATTTCAAAGCGTGTTGTGTCTCTGTTCCGCTCACTAAAAATGTAATAAAAAAATTTGACTATTATCCACCTTAGGGCAAGCAGTTTATGTGTTAGTAACTTTTATAAAAAAGGGGGGACTTCGTCGACAACAAAGGTATCGACCAAAATTGTTCCCATTATGCTTGACATATGAAGTATAGTAATAGTGTGTATGGACTCATAGAATGACTTTCGTTTGATTTCGAGATATATTATCATCTTCTAAAATATCCATACTTTACTTGATAACCCATATGTATTATCGTATTATGAAAATTAAACGAAAAATATGGCTCAAGACGAGCAAAATTCGATGCTAAAAAGTAAATTGTTTAATGATTAGGGTGCTTTCAGGTATTTTTCTGAAGTAACACTTTATTCGTTTTTCTTTCTACATCTGTATATAAAACATGCACAAATAAGTATTTATAATTAAAAATATTATTCGAATTGGGTAATTAAATCGTTAGATCTTAGATTTTATTAATCATTTCTTCTTAAAATGAGACTGTGGTAATGGGAACTGTGTATGAGAGTTGGAGTATTGTTAAATTGCGCGAAATGTTGATAAGTTTCAAAAACAATTTGTAGTATGTTCAAGTATATTAGAATTTAATAATATGTGATAACATCGACTACAAACAATCGATTTTAAGTGATTGATGAAAATCGATATCAATATTTAAAATTTTCGAGGCTTTTTTGACTGATAGGAATTGCTTTGGACACCTAGAATGAAGTTCTCCTTGGTGAATTTCTCCAAATTTTTTTCATTTTAGAAAAAGCCTATGCAATTTTCTAGAAAATGATAACGTTTTTTTCAATTCTCGATTTTTTTTGGAAAAATGAGGTTAATTTTTTTGAAAATTTATAATTTAGAGAAAAATAAACCATTTTCATTGTATTATAAATCGATAAAACCTCTTTATTTTTGTTATTCTATAATATTTCTACTAAAATATATCACATATACAGCAAAATCATATAACTATTTTTCAAAGATATAGAAAAGAAGTATATATTCCTAAATTATAAATCAGTCATAGTTTACTATCAAAAATAATATATTATTCTATATAGATAACCATCCATTGTTAGTAATTTAAAATTATTTCTGGTTCAAATTCAGGGTTATATTCACATGTTTAGAAAATATTGTAAACATCTAGAAAACAATCAATAATATCATGATTTTATTAACAGATGAGTTCAAGATATATATTGTGATTTGATTTTCGATAATAAATCTGAATCAAATTTATATTAAACTCGCACATTTAGTCTTCTTATCATAATAATGTTATTAGTTAGTGACTATGGCTACAAAACAAGCAACATTAGATCTGTATCTCATAATCAAACGGAAGTTAAGCTAAGATATTTGAGATTTTATCACCTGGTAGTATGCATGATACTATACCAGAATGACTAGTCAATCTGTTGTTTTAATATCGTTTTAATTTTTTTATGCCAAAATAGTACTCTGGCTATCATTGGTAATACGTAAGGTTGCTACTGTTGTAATATTTCGAAAAAATAAAAGTATCAACTTTAATGCAAGATATGATGAGTTGAACATCGAATAATTGGGTTTTTGTAATATTAATATTCTTTAGTCCCTAGTATATCATTGTTTCATACTAATAACGTGGATCAATTCCGTTTTAATGATCAGATAAAGCAGAAACAATATACTCAGGTGCCACTTTTTTGGTCTAAAAATGAGTTTCCCCTTGTGTTAGTGAAACAATAAGAATTACCGAAAAAGTGACAAAACATCAAAAACAGGGAGGGGGTCTCAATTTTTATTACTTATATTATTTTACAATATTTATATAAATACTCTTTATAATATATTTTACTATAAAATTATACCTCAAATTCAAATATTTAAAATATTATTTACATAATTATCTCAAAATTATATTTTTATATATTATTTTTCATATGTATAAATCATATAATCTATATCTATGCAAATCTCATCTAAATTTTTTTGAAACAAACCGCTACCATTTTATAATGGTCCATCTTAAATTCATCATAAATTCTGGTACATGTTAGTACCAGAGTCTTCAAATCTCAAACACTCTGGTACCAACATGTACCAGACGCGAGTTTCCAATGCCCTCGTACGATTTTCTATTCAGATCTTCTTGAATGAGAAGGTCTTCATAGAAACTCGTACGAGGGCTTCTCTTTTAAATACTCTGGTACCTGCTGGTATCGGAGTCGACTTTACAGCCCTTTCCCCAATTTTGAAGCTGGGGAAAGTTTTCAAGCAATGAAAGGGAAGCTCTCGCTATGAGGTGAAAATCTAGAATTTTTACCTCATAGCGAGTAATCCTTTGTTAATTGCTTGAAAACTTTCTTCAAATTATCA